GACGAACTGTAGGGCTCGGTAGATCCGTTGTTGTTTTTAGTGTTACGCGGCAAGTCGTCTGCACGACGCGGCTGCGTAGCCATTGCACAACGTGTCTTTAGATTGGGATCGCGCATGGTGATTATCTGGCTGCCGTCGGCCGCGTTCTTGATATTGCTTTCAGTCGCGATATCAAACGGTCTGCCGAGCAACACCTTATAAGCTGGACTTTCCAAAATGTGCACCTGTAGGTAGACCAGAATGGTCCCAAACCTGAAGGGTACATTTCTCGCTAATCCCAGCGACTTAGAGATAGATCCATTTGCACTTTCCATATAGATGACGACTTTTGGGTCCCAGCTCAATTGTGCGTCGACGGCTTCTGAGAAAGCCATCGATACAATCTGAGATCCACTGTCTAGGATGCAGTCCGCGTCGAGACGCGCGTTAATCCGTCCGTTTATTGTTCTGAGAGCAGCTGACGAATCACCAACATAGACATGTCTTGGGTTCTCATTAGAGGGTATCGACTCCAAGTACATCTCATATGGGTCCGTCGCGACAACTGCGCCAATGGGAATTTCTCCTTCAACTGTGTTATGATAGAACACAGGCTCGGGCAATTCCTTAGCACTGACGAGGTTGTAGCTCAGTTCTCCATCCCAAACGTCTTCAACGACGCGACCAGTTTCTTGAAGCATGGACTTCTGAACCGGTACTCGTTTCTTCGAAGAGTCCTTCAGAATGGAGTCGCGGACAGTCCCCGAAACTGCTAGGAGTTCACCCACAGTGACGTCGACTGACGCGTTTTTCATTTTGTCGTAGACTGCTTCTGCTACAGCCTTCGTTTGAATCGGTGCACGCAACTGGTATTTATCTGGAACGCGCGCTTTTGAAGAATGTACTGGTCCTTGTAGAACGGGCTTGACTTTCTCAAACGGTAGTTCCTTTCTCTTTTCGGTGTTGTCGCGCACTGATTCCTCATCATCGTCGCTATCACTAACTTCTTCAATAATCACAGGTCTTCTCGGTTTCTCTCGTCGCTCAGCTCGCTTATCATGGTCCTCAGAGGGCTTGGCTGAGTTTGTGGGTTTAGCCCCCTTCCTTGAACCATTTAGAAACCCGAGTTGTTATCGTCGCGCTCAGGTTGGCTATTCGCACCACGACGGGTTTGAATGAACTGCTCCTGAGTCTGAGGATAACCACTGTTCATGTTGTTGAAGTAGCCGGCCATGGCATCGGTCATGGCTTTCTGCATGAACTGGCCCATGGCACTTTCCATTGCATTACTGGTTGGACCAGATGCAGTTCTTTGAGTCTTCGGCTCAGCGCGACTCTCTGGGATTGGCCGCGACGACTTCCTCTCATACTGGATGAGTTGACTTCGAAGGGAGCGTATCTCATCTGCCACTTCTTCAGGGTAGTTGGACATATCATCATTGTCGCGGCTATCGAACTGATCCAAGTAGTAGGAGTCTTGGAAGTTGACGGACTTGCCCTTCTTCTTCCAGTAAGCCTCTACTCGTTGTCCCTGAGTCCCTTCTCCATTTGGTAGGAAGCTGTCGTCGAAGAGCCTCCACATCCCTTTGGTGTCGACTTTGAGAAGGTTTTTCTCAATGTGAGACCTCTTGAGCGGACACTCGTTCGACCAATGACCAGTTTGTCCACAGTAGCGACAGTCGTCGTTTCGTGCGGCAGCTCCTCCTTGTGCGCGACTTTCAAAGTGGGGCACAGAAGAGTTGTTGCCTACTGGCCGCGACCGCTGTATGGGCGCTTCGCGAGCAGTCTGTACGAACGTCTTCAACGCTTCCTGCAGCTGAGTCTGTAACTCTTTTTGGTGTAGAAGAAATGAGTCCTTCAAGTTGGAAATCGAATTTTCCAACTCCTCAACCTTAGCATGGTTGGGTGGACTAGTCTCATAGTCGAAACGGGCCTTGGGAGGTCGCGCGATTATGGGAATTTCGTCTTCGTTGCTCAACGTCGACGCCATTTCTTCCGCCATTGTCATTAGTTCTTTCAGCTGGATGGGGTCGTCCTGCCGGTTGACTCCAGTCGCGGGGACATTAGCGTTTGCTATCCCGGCGCGAGTTTGGTAGCGCTTATTGAACACTTGACTCGTAGCCAAAGCATTTCGTAAGACGGTACTAAATTCGGAGTCCAAAGTACGCATGTAGCGTTCACACGCGACTTTGTTGGTAATAATGGCAGGAGGGACTGACAGTCGCTTGTAGTGACTATACATTTGAAGGCCGAAACGCTTCAAATCGCCCTCATCCGTGATTTTGATTCCACGGTTCTCGCGACAGAGTCTGTCTAGATCTGCCATGGTCCCCGTTTTTCTCTTGGACACCTCAGGGTATCCTTTTAATATTTCGGCCTCGAACTCCGCGACAGTTTTCGTGTCGTCGGAATAGGTATCGAGACCTTCCCATACATCCATCACTTGCCGCGACGGCAAATAACGAATGTACATGCTTTTCGCTTGCTTGACATCTGTGATGCCACCATCCTCCACGATCTGCGCGCAGTGACGCAAATATGCTTCAATCGATAGGGGATCCTTTTCATCAAGTATAGGTCTACTTGTGTCCCAAGGTTGGGGGATTTTGAACACAGTCTTTGGAGCCATAGTTGTCGCGACTGAAGTCACAGGGGAAGTAGGGATGTTGTTAGAATTCGCGTTTGTAGCGGTGACGCTACTAGACAATTCTGAGAGAGTTTGTGAGCTAGTCTGAGATCGACTGATTGTCGTCGAACTCGAAGTAGCCGCGTCTAAAGCTGGAAGCTTCGACGTCGAATTCACTCTTTGTTTTCCTTTTGCCTTGGAGGGCAAGGGTGGTAGATACAAAGGTGTTTTATGTCTTGCAGACCTTCGTGGTTTTTCGAAAGGTCCTGAAGTTGAAGCGTTTCCTTCAGTCTCAATCTCCGCTTGGTCCTCGAGAGGTCGCGCAGGAGCTTGGGATCGAAATAAACTGCTTCGCGGGATAAACCCTTGGTCTCTATCCGACGTCGCGGTAAAGAACCCGGTTTATTGATTTTTAAAGTTTATGAAACTTTAGAAGCCCCTCGCGGTGGGCTCCAGATGAAATGCTGAGGGCGTGCTCACAAGTGAATCTACTATGAAAGTAAACCCAAATATAAAACACGTTCACACTCCTCGTAATCAGCTTCTCAGTGTGTGAAAGATGCGAGGGCTTCGGGGTGGACAGAGCACCAGTATCACAACTCTCAATAGACGCAGATCCAATAGTCGCGGAGACGAAGTCGACGACAAGAATTTATATATAGCAAACAATGGTATCTCAACCAATATCTTCTATACGAGCACAACCAACACTAATCCAATCCACAAACAACAATATAACAAGTCAGAACTTAATACGAAGTATTAAGATCCCTTGTAGCGACAGCGTCTAGATGGTGACGCAAAGCCCAAATATCAAGTCGACGCACTGCCAACCGATACAACCAATATACTGAGTCGACGCACTGCTAACTAGTAAACCAAAATGTCAAGTCGACGCACTGCCAACTGACACAACCAAAAGTACTGAGTCGACGCACTGCCAACTAGTAAACCAAGATGCCGCGTCGACGCACTGCCAACTAACAGCCAATATCCAATGTCCAAAACCCGAGCACAACTTGTCGACGCACTGCCAAGCAAGAAGTGTGGAACCAAAGTTCTCAAGTCGACGCACTGCCAACTGACCAAAACAACCCGAGCACAACTAGTCGACGCACTGCCAAGCTAGAGGTGTGGAACGATCTCAACAAAGCCCGAAGACGACGACACTAAATGCCGCGACTAAACCAGATGCGGCGAATCCGACTTTCTGATGTCTCAACTCAAAACTCAAATCACAGTAGCTACAAGTGCTCAGGGAGCAACTCGTCGCGACCGGGCAGGGGTAGCAGAACTTCTTAGGGTGGAATCACGCGGCACGCAAATTGTACAAAACAATCTGATATGAGAGTGATTCACAGTCCGGGGGAAAGCTTTCTAATACAAAGAGACGACGTGCTACTTATACTGTCTACGACGCTGCTTAGTAAAGTCCTGTACAACTGCATAGTAGCTACGCTATCTAAGATCGGTTGCCTTTTAGGGTAATTGAAAAGTTGAACGATCGGACAGGTCCTGAGTGATCAGGACCCCGCCCCATAGTCCATATGATACTTTTGATGTGGGTCAACCCACCGCGTCATACTTTTGGAATACGACGTGCTGGATTGGCCAACGGGTATGTCTTGGCAAGTGAGACCAACGTGGGCGCCCCAAGAAGCCGTATGGCCCTAGGCACGCCAGTCGTCCCTCACATGGTTCGGTTCACGGATCTAGCCGTGTCGGTTCCTAGTGTGTTTGGGTATGGGCGCGACTCGCCGTGACACTTGGAAGTGTCACCGCGACGCGTCCACAATGTCCCGTGATCGAATGGATCCTGACATGTGACAAGTCGTCGTCGTGGCATGATCTGAGGAAACGTCCAACTCAAAACCGGGAGTTGCCGCGACAAGATGGTTTAAGTCTCGTAACGCCAAGTCCTGTCCAGTAGTAGTTCTATTATTGAGAACGTCGCGCATTGCTCAGCCCTTCAGCCCAAGTTCCCATCTGCAGAGAATGACCCTTTTGAGAAGTCGACGCAACGACAGATCCCTTTCTGGGGAATGGTCGCGGTCCAAGCGTTCGCCACTAATGGCCCTGAGCCTGGTATAGACTCATAAGACCAGTTCCACAGTAGTGGTCTGACTGCCTTGCTATCGTCGACACTATCCACAGTCGTCGACTGGGCAGTAGACCCATAAGTCCTACTGAGCGCAACACTGTCAACCGCGACACGATACACCGAGTGGTTCAAGAGTAAACTCTGTAAAAAGCGCGAAAATACGCCCTTACAGAGCTGGTGCAGAGCGCGTCTGGTAGCCAGCCTATCACCGCTGCACGTGAAACAACCTTGATGAGCTCGCTGACAAATCCATACAATCTTTTGGTGCACGTGATTGACAACAGCGATACAAGAATGAGTAAAACAGCGATAGAATATGTAAAAAAGGAACACATAAAATGTAAGGACATAGTCTACCATTCATCCGCAGCCGCCAGCTCATCGGGGCCCTCTTCGTCCGAAAACCAAGCACAAATGTCGTCCTCCCCTTCAAAGTCAGTCTCACCAGCAACGTTAGGCTCCACTTCGTCAATCAGACGTTGGAGCTGAGCGTGCTGAGCATCATCTATGTAGAAATGAGCCACAACGCATCAGTTTGAATGAGAGGGACTCACCAAGTCCATTGCCGCCGTTTACACCACCCATGTAATATCCGCCATCCTGACCCACAATATCCTCCCCACCACGCAGTGGACGAAGGTTTGGGAGGGGCTGCATCTCGTTGCGATACTCGTTTTCAGCCTGAGTGAGTGCAAAACCCCACATGTCATCAACACTACTGTCAATGTTGTGAACCTTGTCGAGGTGCTCGAAGCAGCGAAGTAGCTGTCTGTAGATCTCCCAGCACGTCTCCCGAGTAATTGATGGCTCGCCAAGGTCGACATAGAATGATTGAATTAATTGTGCGAAGTCCGGCGGCACCAGTTGAAATATATCGTGGCTGGGATCAGCATACTGTTGGCGAACCGTATTTATATGCTCTTGTTTCACTTTGATCTGAAAAACAATGGCAACAAGAAGCAATAGAATAGAGCCTGAGACGTACCTTGAAATCGAGAATTGCGTACTCATCCGGAAACTCAAGCATGTGCTGCGGAACACCATGAGGCAGAATCTTATTGCGGTCTCGACGTTTTGCAGTCATGTTGACTCGTCGACGGTATGTGTCAAGCTCTGCCTGCAGCCATGGGATGAAAACCCAGCGACACACAAGCCTAATACTTGTGGTCAGTGAACATTGAATGTGAAAGAGAGAGACGCACGCTTGTAAGAGCACACCGGGGTCATACCAGCCATTAGTCACGCCTTCATCGAGAATATTCTCGAATCCAGGTGTGAAACGCCGGCGCAGGACACTCCATGTGATCTCTGGCATGACGTTCTTCTTTTGGCGCATGTATCGGTGCTGAGAGGTTCCAATGAGGTCGGGTCATGTAAATGACGAAGCGTTGTGTGGCCATTTGCGATGCCAACATTTTCGGATCCGGGGTCGCTTTGAGTCACAAGCGGGATGCCTATATTACATTGTTAAAAGAGGGTAGAAACACGATGATTGAGCACTCACATTCAAGCGTTTCAATTGCCTCCAGATAGTAGCTCAGGATGAGGCGCGGATTACTATTGTTCCACCAGATCTTTATCCAGTGAATATATCCAATGAACGGGTCAATTCCGGTGTGAAGAGCAAGTCCGAATTTGTATTTCCACTTATCGTGTTGATCGACGGCCCACATATCATTCACACCCGCAGCCCAGAAGCGTTTCCGCTTAAAATGACCATGTCGACGCCCCCGAACAAGATGGGACTCGTGCTCGTGAAAGTATTGCATAACTATCGAGCTTTGTAATTGTCAATAAAACTCTAGTCGACCTTGAGTTACAATTTAATGACGCACCGTGAAACCAAGATCTCTTCCTCGTGAAAGAGCAAGTTGACCATTTCTCTGCCTCCTGCATTCGGATATATCACACGTATGCGCACAACAGCATCACGGATTGACTCCACGGTGTGTCCCTGCTTACGCACACGAATGAACCCAAAACGCTCTCGAATCTTACGGAATGCTTTGATCCTGCATTCGAGTTGTTTTAGCATGTAAACAGCGGAATAAAATATACGCTCACTCAAGTCCATAGCAAGATAAATCTATATGGTGCTTCTTGAGTTGGGCAAGGATAAATTTGTTGTTCTGCTTCATTTTCCAATGATATTCGATGGCAGCATGAAGCTCGGGTGTTTTGGGAGCTAAGTATGCGGCGTCAGAAAGGTAGTATATGTGAGGATAAACAAACGTGCAGGTTGGTTTATGTTGATTTGGCATCACAAGGACGGCAATGGGAGGAGAGCTCGAGGGTAATGGTTTGGATGGTTTGGCACACTGGGCTTATAAACTCAGCTGCGAATCCTGCCGCATGGAAGAACTTAGACCTGCGAGCAAGATGAGAATCAACACGAGAGAGTCATGAGGCCAAGTGGCTCCTCACTCGAGGCAGATGAGGGCGGTGAGGTGCAGTAGCACTTAGATAGCACCGTCCTCAAGTGATTAATAAAGATAGCGGTCATTGGCCGGAAACAATAGATAACACAGCTGTATTTCAATTTATTGCCACATGCCAGTGGAACGAGGTCCAAGGACGGCCGGAACTAGAAATAAATAGCAAGCATACTACCAGAGAGAGATAACACATGGACACCGTGATGTCTAAACACTTCACAGCAGTCAAAACATGCCTTGTTTATTAATTCCTCGCTGCTTATCAGCTAAGCGGTAAAGGGACTATCAGAAACTTGGACCTGACATGAGTTATCGACTCCAAAGAGAAATACTTTATAAGACTGCGAGGATCAGCTCAAATTTGGCACGACATCCCTGCTCTCGTCTCCAAGTCTGAGTCTTACACTGTTATCCTACATCATGTCTGAAGAACCCACTGCCTCTCTTGCAGTCGACTTCACCAATGATCGTACCGCATCTCAAGATTCCCGCTGTGAAAATGGCCAGATCTGTCATGGAGATTCGATTATTCGTCGTGGCAAGCGCTTCTACCGTGTTCAAAGTAACAGTCATCAGAATGACTCACAACTAGTGTGCATTTGCTGCTACTCACATTACAAGGAGAAGTCCATCCGTAGCAGGGATCAAGGTGTGTTGTGTTCTCTTCCCTGTTCAAAAGAGTGATTATTTGTCTTACTAGTCATGCCTGGAACGCCGGCTTTAGCTCCAAACGCTGGACAGATTCATGCAATGAACATTGCTGGAAGAATTGGGAGTAGGTGGCGTCTCAGCCTGTTACAAACTTCCCGTCTCACTCAGCAACCTATAGATGTTGCGAATGCGCACAAAAATGTGGCAGCATTGCCCCGTGGCTCCATGCCTCCTCCGCCAACAATTCCAGGTGACACAATACATATTGTGTAGTTTTAATTTACTTACAGTGACTTTCCTTGTAGCTCGACCTCGTGTTTCTGTTCCGAGCGCATGGGACTTGGCAGCGCCGGTTTCCGCTGGTTCGTCTGCCTTAGTGTGGACAGACAAAGGCTATTCGGCCAATCATGCTGTCTACCAACCTAATCATGCATCATGGGCCAAGACAGCGTACGTGGGTAGGCCCAACGAGTCTCTGAACCTCCTTGTTGGGATCCGGTATGAGGCAGAGAGAAAGAAACAAGGAGAAACTTACGGGGTGCGTGTATCAGGGCTCTCAGTTGACTTGCAAACTCATGTGCGCTTCTCAGACAATTAGTGAGGGGACGGTTGTCCAGGGTTTGGCTAGCTTCGAAGACATCTTCAACCATGTTTGGGCAATGATGTATGAGCAGCTTTGTGCCGACGCAGACTTCAAATTCCAACCAACGGAGCTCACCGTTCGGGATGTTCGCTCATGGCAGAATTTTTGAACAGCACCTGACCGCACAGTGCTGGTCTACTATTCCCAGTACACCAAACCTGGGAAGAGCGCTGGTCAGTTTAACTTTGTCGCACCCAAGACACCTATTCCTGTGGCTCTTGTGATCTCAGGCAGAGAGTGGAAGCGACACCGGGACTATATCTTGGATGCAGAGGCTGAGGTGAGCTTTCATTCTTCGACGAAAACTCAATATTCTAAACAACACTATCAGGCAAGCGAAGCTATTGAGCTTGAACAAGAGACACGCAACAATTTGGTTTCAATGAGGCAGCTCCTCTCACCAGACCGACTGCCAATGAAGAACAAGAATTCTGGGTCTGGGCTCAGTGCACGCACGCGTGTAGGTCACTCTAGACTCTCTCTTCTTTCTCTCATTAACTACCTTTATTTTTCAGTCAAAACACGATAAATCACAGGGAATTAGTGTTCAACGCTCAAGGGACAAAGTTTCTGTTAGCTCTGAATCAAGCAATCGTTCAGGAACTCGCGTGAGTCACACCAAATGTCATGATTTGTTACTGATAAATGCCTCTATTAGTCCTGTCGCCTTTCCGACTCCCATTTCACTGTCTCAGACTTGTCTCAGCCAGAGGAAGACTCATCCTCGAAATTTGGTCTTCTGGGTGCAGCATTGTGGTCACAGAATGCGCAGCAGAATGATGACCGGCCCATCACACCTCCCTCTATAGGGCAAAAGCGTCCTCATCAAGGATATCGGTCACCTGACCATGCCGATTTTGCACAGCTTCGCAAGGCACTCAGTGACGGAGGACAATTCTCTCGATCTGGACCACTTGGTATGTTCCCCTGTTCTCCGACAGCTCTTGGGTACTTACCTCAGAAACCAGACTTGCCAACATCGGAACGAATTGAATTCTACCGTGTTGTGCCTTGTTCAATTGCAGAGCTGTTTGATGGATCAGGTCTGTTATTCAAATGCGACCCAGCGTCCTCAGAGGCCGGAACTCTATCAATTCTTCTGGTTTCAACGCTTGGTGAGGGAGCCTTCAAGGACGCTCGCCCTGGATTCCTGACTCTCACCCGTGCACCGTCCAATGGTCTTGGAAGTTCTCCAAATGAGCGGGTCGCTGTAAAGCAAATGATTCATAGCAAGAATGAGCACGGCAGCTCGAAGCGGTTTGACGTCAAAAATGAATTTCGACTGACCGTTTCTGAAGGAAACCTGCTTCTCTGGGCGATCTCCCTCTTCGATTTCTCACTTTCCTTTGTCCACTCTTGTCTGCAGACCATTGGGACACCACCATCCACACTAATCGTTCCTGACATCCGTTTCGTTGAGGGCGGCGTTGCTCTGGTTCACGACATCACCACGGGGCCAAATGTTCAAGTCGCTTCATCTCTCCGCCAATCACTTCTCATTGAGGAGTTGATCCCCTCTCCATTTGTCAAATTTGTGCACAATCGGGCACCTGTTCCGCACTTGACCGTTACTCACGAGCTTTATTACATTGCCGAGTTTCTGTGCTTTACTCAGCACATTCAGTACGAGAAGTCTGGCGGCTTGGTTTTCATATCGGACTATCAAGGTGCGCGTCTATTCTTCGTCTATTCTTTCTCTGAGTCTCTGAGTCTCATCGAATCTATCACAGGCTCAAAGGAGGTGTTGTTGGATCCGCAGATCATGACTTCACCGTGAGTCCGTTCCTGTCCTGATTCACAGTGCTAGATGAATTATCAATAACAGGGACATTGGCAACAACGGGAGCATGTTTGGGGGTGGAAATGTTGCTCAGCTCTTCGAGGACTTCCCCAAAAAGCACCAGTGCTCGGCATATTGTCAATTCTTTGGATTGAAGCCGTTACCGTGATGTATTCCACTCAAGTCATACCTGTCATAGGCCTCTCATACAATCTCTGTTCCCGTCATCATATCGCTGTTGTCAATCACGTGCACCAAAAGATTGTATGGATTTGTCAGCGAGCTCATCAAGGTTGTTTCACGTGCAGCGGATGCCTCGGACTGGGATCAAACTTGCTCGCCCCCCGACCGCCGACTAGTCCCTTACCTCTCCACGTGAGGCTGCGCGCTCATACGCTCCGTAGGCATTTCACTCTGTTACTCATTCTTGACTCTTGTGCCCGTCATCCGAGGCCATTTCTGACGGCTACCCAAGTGTACGGGGTCTCCCATCACCCATCACTGTCACCTGTCTCGTGTATGAGCAGGGCCTTCCGAGCCTCCATAGTATCCCCCTTCGGACCGCATGCGCAATCAGTTCACATTTTCTCTTTCCTCCGGCCCCGTCTGCGACTCGATCAAGCTATGCGACGTGTTGGATAGCCGCAAAATCTCCGCGATTTCCTTATTTGCTGCGCACGGGGTGCTGGGACGAGACTCTGGCGTGTGAAGCATTTGCTCCTGGGCCGCAATTCTGCACGAGAAAATGTCTCAGATAGGCGCTTTGGACTTCGACGCTTCAATGGCGACGAAATCGGCATCATGAGCACCCCAAATCCTCTTCGTGGGTGTAAAGCGCCATGGCTCGTCTTCCGGCGCATCAATCCATTGTCCTCCCCGGTTATCGCACAAGATGCTCTTATCTGATAGATTGGGTCGTGCTTACGGATATAGGTCCACGGCTTGGGGCCAGCTAAGCGCTGTCAAGATAAGATCAGATTCGCATCCTAACCTGGCTTCCCATTGTGCGACATATTGGGTGAGGCGGGTCGAGGTGGGTTTATAAAGACAGGGCGTGCGCTGGGCGGCGCTTTGCTTCGCCTGTTGTCTTTCCCGAACGCACTTCATCTGACCTTTGCACGAACGAACGAGCTTTGATAGCCCGAAGACTGCTTCATTCCACGATGCTCTCATCCCCATACGACCCATCCTTCGCTGCCCTGGCGGCACAGACGACCACTACGAATGCCCCGACCAATGCCTATGCTGCTAGCAATCTCGTATATGCACCCAGCAGCGCTCCGAACGGCTATCCCATCCAACAGTTTGCGCAGCCCCAAGCCCAATGGCCTCAGCACCCGCAATCGACACACTCATTCCACCCCGGTGCCCAGACGGCGCCAATGCCGTCTTATCATATGTACAGACCTGCCAATAACGGGGGCGCGCTGCACGGGTGGCCGATCCCACAGGCTGCGATTCCCCACCCCGCACGTCCGATAGTCTTCCATCCCCGGGCGGCGCGAATGCCCGCTGCGAGCGCACCGACCTCGTCACTCGGCGGCGGAGATATCGTGAATCTACGTAACGGTGGCGCGCCCTATGGCTGGCCTGTGCAACGACAAGCTGTGCCGCCGCAAGGCCCATCGTCTCAGAACCCTCAGCCTACACACTCCTCCACGACTGTTCCCAACTTTGTTCCGCGTCCAGTCCCGATTCCGAATCTTCCCCCGTCGGGCTTCACGTTCATCTATCCTGTTGCGGGGACTGTCCCAGTCAACCAGTTTACCCCAGCTCCCGTCCCGAACGCACATGCTGGCGCCAGCAGCACGGCCGGCCCCTCTCAAGTCACTGCTGCGACTTCCGATCCTTTTCGGTACTATCCACACTGGAATCCCGCTCCTGCTCCCGCCCCCACCCCCGCTGCTGCTCCGATTCCGCCTGCAAACACGGGCCCCCCATCTGCAGCGCTGCAGTCGGAGATGGCTCGGATCATGCAGAACCAGCGCCTGTTCTTGCAGCGAGAGCAGCAGGTCCAGCCGGTGTTCCACCAGCAGCTGCGCATGCAATGGCAGCAACAGCCACATTACCAGCCGTTGATGGCTCAGCCTGCTGTTGCTGGGGCTGTCTCGACCAATCACAACTCGACGTCTGGTGTTGCGAAACGCCCTCGGTGAGTAGCCTCTCGTCTCTTTTCATCTTTCTCTCTGCTCATACTTCCTTCTTAGCACCGTGTCTTCTGCGAACTGCGATGACCAGCCGGCGAAACGATTAAAGCGGAGGTACTTGGTTCATCTTCTGTTCTGTTTCGTACGCTCACTCGGCTTCCAGTTCCGATGGGACCGTCCCAGAGCCGCAAGCTGCTCCTGATCCACAAGCTGCTCCCAAGCCCGACGTTCTTCCAGAGAGCCAGCAGCCCGTCTTCGAGGACACCCCCGCTCATCCGCCCACCCCGTCTCGTTCTGCGTTTGAGAACATCGTGAATACCCCGTCTCCGAAGAGTCTCGGCCGTCGCGGAGATAAGTTCGAGACTCCTCACGAAGACAGCGTCGAGGATACTCTTCTGAAGCAGGCACCGGGGTCAGTTTGCGAGCCGGAGGACATTTTCTCCGCGTTTGTGGCTGTTCCCAACGATGAAGACAACGACGCGCTGGCTGGAACTCGACCACTTCCGCCCATGCTGAATCTAGCCAACTTGGCTGCATGTGGGACCGACGAGGACATCGAACCTACCTGCATGGCCTCGGCACAAGGCACGCTTCCCGCGTTGGTTACCGACTACCTGTTCGGTGATCTCCCGTCCGACCCTTTCCTTCGAACCACCCACGAGGAGAGTGTCCGCGTTGCAGAGCGGTTCCTCGCGCTCTCCGGGATCGACGAGATCTGGGATCTCGATGATAAGGAGATGCCTGCCCTTGTTATGCCGGTCGACCAGGGATACGTGGATCCGAACGACATTCTAATACTACCTTAGGCCTCTGTTATAATCGACATACACACTCACACTCGTTCTGTATCCGTTTTGATGTATCCAGTAGGTAGCAAGTACTCAGTAAGTAGTCCGTAGTCAGTAGCGTAGCACTTGAATAGAATAATATCAGTACAGTATGTACTTATGCAAAACGCAACACGATCATGAAAAGCGAGCATAAGCCCTGTCATAAGACCGTTGCCGTAGCACTTAAATAGAATAATATCAGTACAGAATGTCCCTAAAACGAAGTACGGTTGTGAAAAGTGAGCATGTGATTGTCTCTATCCACGAGCCCTGTCTCAAGACGGCTGTCGTTGAGTTAAAAGGATTCACATTATCACCAGGAGAGTAGAGAATGAGAAAAGTAGGGAAGAACTGATGCAGAGCACGCAAAACTAGGATGTGTTACCAGCAACATGAGGCCCACCGTCTGCATTTCTGCAGGGGGGAATACCTGGTCCGGTGAATTGATCTCGAAATGCTTTCCGTTATATGAGTGACAGGTACGGTCGACTCAACGCCGGTGAGAGGGAATGGGATGATCCACCCTAAGGCGAGCAGTATGGAGGCCGGGAACAGCATGCTGATTCGCGGCGCGAAATGAGATCGCTGTCTGATTGATTGATCACTGCACGTGTTCGGCATCATTCACGGCATATCACATTGTACTTTGTTGCTTGTGCTCTGTAAGGTTTATAAATGTTAGTTAATGTTCACACTAGTGAGATACCATATTGTATGTATGTATTCTTGTTAACGAGCGTTGATTTCCCCTGGTCCTGGAATTGATCGGTCACGTGCAGTTTCGATGAGTCAGCAAGGTCGCCGAAACACTTTCACGTGATCCAGTCTCACTATTGCGGACGCACTGGGCAGGAATAGGCCCACGGACACATAGGGTGAACATCCTCCGCCAGCCTACCTACTTTTACATTCAATTTCTCGACATCTTGAGCAACTTTTACTCTATTTTCGAAGGGTTAATTCGATTTTTCTCCCTAAGCTTCCAGGCCTTTACCACCTCTTGAACGCACAGTGGCTATTCCCGCTACGCGTTGACGAGACCCTTAATTGATGAAGACCACCGATGGGACGTCCTTGTAGACTTTTTCAATGCCAATCCATTCCGAGAGATCCAACTCTGGGTCTGTGGTCTTGCCACTGTCCGTGACTTCGAGGACAGCTGCCGACACTTCCGTCATGCCCATGTACTTCGGGAACCGGCTGGATGGCGCAGCGCTTGGGAGCCGGGAACGATGGGCAAGAAAAAACGATCAGGTAAGCGATTATTCTGATCATATCGGTTGTTAGATTCCCCATAGGCTACCAAATTCAGTCCATTTCCAGTTGAAATTAGTCTTGCTGACGACTGATAAGAGTACATGAGCCCAGATGCCTAATTTCAAGTCAGAAATGCCCAGATTAGGCCGGGTTCCACCCGATTTTACACTGGTCCGGGGCTCAAATCTTTCAAGATCGGCAGGGAACTAGCCAAGTTTTACGCTATCTCCGGAGGCTTGCTGCCCTTTTTGAGGCACTTTTACGCTATTTCCCGGAGGATTAAAGTCAAAATTTTCGGCCAGATTTACTTTATTTCGGAGGATGTTCAACCTATGTGTCCGTGGGCCTATTCCTGCCCAGTGCGTCCGCAATAGTGAGACTGGATCACGTGAAAGTGTTTCGGCGACCTTGCTGACTCATCGAAACTGCACGTGACCGATCAATTCCAGGACCAGGGGAAATCAACGCTCGTTAACAAGAATACATACATACAATATGGTATCTCACTAGTGTGAACATTAACTAGCATTTATAAACCTTACAGAGCACAAGCAACAAAGTACAATGTGATATGCCGTGAATGATGCCGAACACGTGCAGCGATCAATCAATCAGACAGCGATCTCATTTCGCGCCGCGAATCAGCATGCTGTTCCCGGCCTCCATAGAGCAGCCCGAGGCCGACATTAAAAGGTCGTTCGTGCTTGTGAAAGTTTTCAGTATGCAATATTCCCGCAGGCAAGGGTGAGATCAACGACTTGCGCTCGGGAGTTGCCATCCAACTGACTCGTGATTATAAGGTCAGCGGGAGAAGTGATTGCCAGTGGTGGTAGTGAAGTCCACCCATGATTTCAGCAGTGAAACGCCAGAAACATGGGCGCTCAAATATCTGTATTGCATGGATGAGTTCTGAAACACCAGAGGAAAAACATTTCCGCCTTGAGAGAATGTGACCGGGTGCTAACATTGGGTGTCATTCGTGGAGTTTTAACACCTCGATTTGATCCCCACTGATTACGTGGACTTATTTGGGATCATAGAAAGGCGATCTTGGTCCTGTGGCTTCATGTTTGTGCTTTCCTCTATTCAGCGAGGGCCAAACTTTGCGATAGATCTTCAAAGATAAGATCTAGGTCTTCATGATTAATAGCACTAGTTATGCAAGTAATTTGAGTATTCTACCGTTTGCCAGGAAATATTCTAATAGCGGAATTCAGTGATCTAGAAGGTTATGGGACAGCTGAACTACATCCCGCAAACACTAATTCCAACACGTGTAACTAAGAATAAACGGCTCAGTGGTGCCATATCTCCGGGTTTGAGTTTATAAAGGAGATTTGCTCTGTAAAAAAATGAGCATGATGCAAATGTCAATGGACTAAGCCAATCAAGCATCTACCCTTGCGAAAGGTGTCAGGAATCATCGTCAGATTCGCACCGTTCAGTTGCATGAGCGACTTTGTGAGCAAATTAGTCACACTGATGAACAGTTCTAGAACCTAATGGCTCACCTTTGCCATCGGCGTGAACTGCGTCCACTCGGGGCGTGGAATTCCAAGCCCGTCGTTCGGGGTAAGACTCGTCGCGAACGAGATCCAGAAATCGGTCATGATGCGGCTGATTGTTACCGACGCCGACGACGTGTCTGCCGGTGTGCCAAACACGTAGAAGACCTCGGATCCGTGCGCGACTATATGTGCAGCCCCGACAAGTCAGCCCTGGGTTGCGAGCTTCTTCAATTGTACAGGACGTACCGCCGAGCTGAGGCAGTCCGTTTGGCTGGGGCTGGGTGAACAGGTATCCGAAAGTGGTTACCCCAGCATTAGCGGCCGCTTCAATCCACTGCCTCCGTTGGGAGTGGAAATCCAGATCTCCGTCTGCAAACAATTGTGAGATAAAAGAATGATTTTCGAAGTCGCAGGTTCGACGTACCGATTGCTGATGCTCGCTTATATTGACTGCTCAGTCCGAAGGTGTTGTTTCCTGTGCCGTATGGCGATCCTGGAGCATATGGGTTCAATATGCGGGGAACAAGGGGGGAAGAAAAACAGTGTACCGAGGGCAGGAACATCCGGATAGAGTTCCAGAAGTTTCTTAATGGAACTCTGGAGCAATGCAGGCGAGACGGAGGGTGTGCGCCCCGAGATCAATGATGCATTGATGGCGGCAGTCGAGTTGATCAGCTGTGAGGTGAGCGCGGTTCCTGTGACCACGTGAGTCGGCTTGTTACCCATGAAAAATCATTCCATTCACCCTCGTCGAGGTTGGTCCCAGCGATGAACGGAATTCGGGAGAACTTTCCCTGCGACAGAAGACGCGACGGCAGATCGGGGATCAAGCCTTCAGGACCGTCGATCACTGGGTTGAACGGAACCTGTTCGTTGGTCTCTGCCAAGGAAGTGAGCAGCCCCTCGAGGAGCTCTTGCGTGGTGACATTCCGCAGGCATGAAAACGTCAAATGTGTCTTTGCTAAGGAGGCACAAGAGGGAACGCCCGCCACAAAGCTTGTCCAGATATTCTCCCGGCGAGTCGCAGGAAAGATCGCCACTGTGGCCTGCGATCCGGACTCGAAAATCTACGGAGTGATTCAGATTTTTTTTCCTATGACAAGAATATTGATGTTCCCGAGATACGCACCGCAGCACGCGCCAATTTGTCAACTCGCTTGTTCAAGAACAAGATCGACGTAAGGATGCTTCCTGCACTCTGTCCAAACGCAGTAACTTTGCGCTTGTCGCCACCGAACTTGCCGATGTTTCGTTGAACCCACTCTAGCGCAGCGATTTGGTCTTTGATCCCGAGGTTGAGTGCTCCTTGATCCATCGCCTCCTGGCCTTGGGGGAAGCCGAGTGGGCCGAGGCGATAGTTGAAGCTGACGAAGACTACGGGAGTTCCCTGCACGATCAAGTCTTGTCAGACTAAGTCCTTGATGAGACATTGGGAGACACTTACTCGGGCCACGCTTTGCTCAACAATCGTGCTGCCATTGTAGACCACGGAGCTTCCACTGAGGAATCCACCTCCGTATCTTTGAAGAGGTGATTGGTCAAACTCGCTTGCAGCTGGCTCGGAGAGATCCTTACGTCCAGAACATCTGTCCGACGGGGATCAGGTCGATACAGGGAGAGGCGCATCCAAACCGTACTTACCACAGGGAGTTTCGAGGTTGAATCGACACCGGCAGGACGAAGAATGTTGACCGTCAGACAGTCCTCGGACAGCGCAAAACTGGTGGGCAGACCCTGCACGTGGGACACATCAACACAATATCCGCAGCGCCGCAGCTCAGACGTAACGTACGCCAGGTGTACTTCCGCCGAGGGGTTGGATGCATGACGGCCCGTACTGGGCGGCATCGAGCGTCGTTGCGTTCAGCGACGTCTGCAAGACCGGAGGACGGAAGCGGAGATCGCCGAGCGGTGGCTCAGCGTAAGGAATGCCTGTGTTCGTGTCGTGCGCCATCAGCTTATGCAAATGTCGTCGCAGGTGCGCTGCGCACCTGCGAAGAACTCCTGGCTGAACGTCGGGATGCTGCGCCCGACCACAGCTGTTTGGCCGAGCTGGACTGTCGGAGCGCCTCTAGCGACGAGGGCGAAAAGTAACACAGAAGAGATCACGGCTGAGGTTCGGGTCATTGTAGTCGCAAGAGGAACCGTCAACTGGCCAGCTGCGCTATCCATCTGGAATTTAAATACGGCCAATGCCGTAACTCACCTCACCGTGCGAATATCGAGTCTCCATTTAGCCAGACCGTAGCCTCACACCTCTCATAAGTCACAAGGAAACCACTCCGTTTTTTCAGGGCTGATGTCCGTTTTGGCGACATCCTTCTTCTCCTCGGACGCTTGACGGGACGTTTTGGCCGGATCGTACTCCGGATTTGCAATAGTCTCCGTTGTCATGAGTGCCGGAACGAGATCCGTGGCCTGCGCGCCGTGCTGCGCAAGATCCTCGATCATCTTCTCCTCTGAGTTCTGGCCAGCATCATACTAGGTGCGGAAGTTCTGCGGCCCTTGTGTCTCAAGCTCCATGTGATAGTCAAGTCGGCCCACGATCTTCGTAGCCCGCAAATCCATATCCTGCACCGCAGGCTGAAACCTCTTCCGATTCGCGCGCTGAGATTCTGCAGCATCTCTTTGCGTGTGTGTCCGAGAATGTCCCAAAAAAAAGCTTTTTCCGGGTGAAAAATGCATTTTCTTGCGGTTACTGACGTGCCAGGTAGAGTGCACGCACGTCTAAAATTTGCCGCCTAGTACCCATCCGCCGGTTACCACTTAGGTAAGGTTTGGGCGCAAAAGAAGACCTACTCAAAGGGTGGGACTTGCGGACTGAACAAGGTAAAATGGTTCGGAAACTAAGAAGCAGTAAATTCAAAGGGATTCCAACACATATTAGGAGGTAGAATAAAGGGGAATAAAGAAAACAATGATTGACTTTCAGATGATTCAGTCTGTTTGATGCATTCCCATGAGCCAGTGATTTTATTCGAGTACAATGAGCCATAAAAGCAAGGCGAACAGATCTGCCAACTCATGGTGCGGATCACTCAAAAGAGCTGGGGTGATCGTTGCATGATGTATGAGATGCATTCTGTCAGAATATCAAGACATCGAGTTTTGCCAAAACGACTTTTTGACAAAATCTACTGCTTCCCGTGGCTAATGGGCTGGGGAACAGCCAAACGATCGAAATGTGCGATAGATCTCATCAGATTGCTTTGCTTCTGCCCATCGCCCTAGGAGAAGCTCGTCAAGATTGCCGCTCTCGAATTTAAAACTGCGACACGTACAATCATGATGTTGGGGAAGCCAGGGTCGAACGGAAGGACGCTCTCGAGATAGACAATCTGTTCCGGAGTCAAGCTCACGTCCAGAGCCTCGACATTGGCCATGAGGTGTTCGATTTTCCGGCCACCGATGATTGGGAAGACATAGGGAACCTTGTGCATCAAGTAGGCGATTGCGACTAGAAAAAGCATGAGAAATATGTGTAGGTCAAGGAATGTGAACGAGACGAACCAGAGGTGATGTGCTTCACTCCGACTTCGCCAGCCACCTTCTCCAGAGCAGCGGACATCTTCCTCTCGTCCTCATTGCGCTCCCAATTCGGTCCAAAAATCACGCGGCCCTTCTCTCCTGAAGCACGACGCGCCTCTTCTTCGGCATCGGTGCGCAGCTTCCCGCCGGCCAGCACGTTCCACGGAGCGAGGGCCATCCCTTTTCACGAAAAGTAAGCACACTGAGCTCGGGAGATGCAGAGCGAGAGGCCGTACCGTATGCACGAGCCATGGGAATGATCTCGCGCTCGAACGCACGCCCCATCACATTCCACGCGCCCTGGTAGATCACAAACTGCGACTTTCCGTGGTCGCGCGCGTACTGGTTCGCCTGCGCAACAACCCAGGCGGGGGTGTCCGAAATTCCGAGATACAGAACCTTGCCCTGCACCACGAGGTTGTGCAGTCCGTCCATGACCTCCTCGACGCTGGTGTCCCAGTCCCACCAGTGCAGGTACAGGATGTCGATGTAGTGTGTGCGCAGCTTCTTGAGACTGGCATCCACGCTGAGGTGCATCGACTTGCACCCGTAGCACTAGGATTTAGCTAAAGACCATGGCTCTTACCATAGAAATCCCATCCTAACGTATGGTGCTTACCATGCCATGGCTCTTGCCATGCGTTTGCCTCGTATCTTATGGCGGGACATCACTGATTCCACTGCCACCTCCTTCCCATTCCGGACGGTGATCTTTGCCATCACCACGGCGCACTCGGCTCGCCACGAAAGATGATTTCCCATCAACTGGCACTGTCCTGACCGCAATCCTGTGGTGATGGCGCCTGATGGCGGGCATCCCGACCCCCGATAACGCTATCGGGCTAGGATCACCCATCTAATCTCCACAGATTCACCTTATCTTCATATCGTATCAAATCATGTCATCTCATACTATCATATCTCTGCAATGACATCATATCTACACCTGCCGCTCCTTGTCGAAGCTGGTCCCGCCGATACGTGCTCCCCATTTGCGCGTAAGATACTCACGCAGACCCAAATGCCATGCCGACTGCTTCAGGGCATATGCCCTGGCTCCCGCCTCCACAGCACCCTCCCAATCCTCCCTCTGAGCTTGCCGCTTCGACCACCACTCTGACTGCCACTGTAAGTACGCGCACACCCGACGCATCTCCTCCTTCAGCATGATGACCTCCTCGGACCACCGATCTCTTCGAGCACGGGCACGAGCCCATTCAATCCGGATGGCTAGACAGCATCAGACGAGAAGCCAGTCACATGAGCGCAGACTCACTCACAGTCATGCAACTGCTCCTCTGCCTTGTCTAGAGCGCCGGGGGCCGTCCAGATCCAGGACATTGTTCGCTTTGAGGAGCCAGAATCGTGTCGGGGAGCTCGGCCCGTGCCAAAAGCTGCCAACTTCTTGGCAGACGACGCATCGCTGGAGGCGGCGTCATTCTCAGACACCACAGCAACACCATCCATCTGCAGGTCCCCCTGAGCCAGCTCGCGCAAATGCCCGAATGACGAAATACGACCACATGCCACCAAAGCGGCCCGCCCCGCCCTGTACCTAGCAGCAGAGATGTTGACCTTCTCGCCAATCTCGTCGATGAGTGTCCGCGCCTTCGTGGAGTTCACCTGCCCCGTGACGTTCGTGTTTCGAAAGAGGATGAGGTGGCGCTTGGCATGCAGACGGGCACGGACTTGCGCCAGACTGTTCTCGCACTGCGCGACCCTCAGACGCACTTCCATCCCTACCAGCCCCAAAGCACATCCTCGATTGTCCCCCAGTGACGCAGGCATGTCGCTGGGCATCCACAGTTTAATGTTCTCGGCCTGAGGAGCCACGCCCGACTCCGACGCTTGTATGATGGCCCTCACCGCCGGCATATACAGCGCCTGCAGCTCCCTGAAGCGCTCAATCTTGACGAGCGTGGCACGTCTCCACTCCTCAATCCGGTTAGCTCGATCTGTTGCAACAAGCACAGTGCCGGCGAGCTCCAGGCGGATGCGACGCCTGTATCGGCATCAGCAATGCGTCGCGTTCATGACAGAGATACAACGTACTGTGCATCCTCTATCTGTATTCCAGCCGTCAGGAAAGATGTAGCACTCTGCCCTTTCAGCAGCAAACGTCCCTCGGCCATCAAACGTTCTTCCTCCTTGCGTACATCCAACCTAACCTGACCCTCGGATATACAGTCTGAGTCCGAGAGATCAGACACGGTTGGAAAGTGGGCCAAAGCACGTACGAGCAGTGTCCAGCACATATGGATTGGGTTTGGTGTTGTCGAGCAGCCACGCCTCAATTCCCACAAGCCATTCCTCCTTCACGCTTTTTGGTACGGTCAAGCTGATGTCCTCAAATGCATGGACTTGGATATTGCGCTCGGCTTCAGCAACTTTCAATCGTGCTGGCAGCGTCTGTGCTATTGCATACTTAGTATTGCCGGTCTGAGCTTTGACGAGAACTTACCCAGTCCCAGGTTCTTCATGAAGTTGTTATGGTCTATCTTCTCCTCCAGTACATCCGCTCTCGATCCCAGCGATGACGTCCTTGTCGCATATCCAGTCGGATTCAGCGTCGACCACACTCGCTCGATCCCCTCCCCGTCCGTCTTCCCGACACCCGGCTTGAAAGACAGGCTATTCGCGTTCTGGCACTCGCTGTTGTGGGATGCTGCATGCCATACAGGAAGCCCACATTGGACCTCCAAATCCTTGAGCGGCAGATGTAGCTCGGATGGCAGGCGCTTCATCCGATCCTCGAGGTTCTTGTTCCACTGGCATCCGATATCGTACGAGAGCGTGAGCCACAGCAGACCAAAGCCTGCAAGTGCCGAGAATGCTATAAAGTCCATGTTCGCATACCTGCCTGGGGAGTGAGTGTGAATCATAACGGCGGCGCCCTTTCACGCACCGCTCGCCCTTCTGCAAATCGCCGATTCCGTTCGGCCGCATGCATTCATGGCGGGCGCAGACACATCCTCCAACTCCTGAAATGCGGAGCCCAGTAGTGAGACAAGTGTCCTTCTGGAGGAGTGCCGCGAACGCGATACATGTGCTGGTCTTGGTTGACGAAAAGAATGAGTCCCAATTAGGTAGGTGGTAAACATGTGTACACACGTCATCCTCGCTAACGTAGTTCTTCAAGTGGGTCGCGTAGGGGTCAGGGGGGACCCAGTATCCCCATCCCGGACCCAGAGACTTGTCCTCTATCTCATTTGCTCGGATCCTGTTCTTCAGTCTGAAATTGGCATCCAGCGCCAATAGCAGCATGAAGATAAATCTTGACTGGTCAGCACATTTCTGTCATCCGCTTGCACCCCACGCGCTCACCGAAACGATGGATGAACATCCCTCCAGTCTTTGGGCAGGTTGCGACCCTCATGAGGACATGCCCAACAGATGACCGCACATTCTCCCTGGTTGGTACTCTCCACCCCGCACGGATCGTGCCCCCGACCCGCCCGCATCAAGCGCAGTAGAAACGCCCATTGACGCGACATCCTCAGAAGCTGCTTGTAGCGGTCCTGGGGGGGGGGGGATGTCAGCCACTGGGTCGATTCAGAAGGATCATTCACGCACCACCGTCTTCTTCATGCCGGTCTTCGCGCTCGCCTCTGTCATCTGCTCCAGCGAGGTCATGAAATCCCTGGCGTTCATGTTACTGATGGTCTGATACAGACGGAATGACTCGAGCGTTTCGAATGTCGCACAAGTGCCCGGGTCGATGTTCGTAGCCGGATACCACCCATTTCGTAATAACTGCTGAACCTTATCTGCGTGGTCGGACTTGGCGCACTTGCAATACCGCATCTGTATTTCGTGGACATGCGGCGCGTGTATGACCACCAGCTGCTGCACCTTTCCCGCTGGAAACACGCATGGCAGCCCTCCGTGGCCCAGCTGATATACGAGTCCCAATGCTGCCAGTGAGGTCTTCTGCCACCAACTTCCATTCCACTCCTGCACTCCGGTCAGCTGTTAACACGCCAACAGGACTTCGATGCACCTTGATTACGTGGAGCGGAGTGGTCGCATGCCGGGCCAAGAGACACTCCTTGCACTGTAGGAACACCCCACAGTGCAGGCACTTGAAAATGCCGTGCTTCAGCTCGTCCTGGGGTGCATTCCGCGTTTTGCTCTCCTCCCCCTCATCTTCTTCCTTGCCAGCTCTGCGTGCTGCTGTAACGACCTCCGTCTTGTCACATCCGGATGCCGATCGGCTCTCCAGTCCCACCTTACAGACGCTGCATTGTGTGTTGTCCAACGAGTCTGCTAGTCCTTCGTGGCGCAGGAGCTCATCCAGGAAGAATGACATTCGTGGTCGCCATAGGGACATGGGATCGGACTCAGGATCCCAGTCAGTTTGGCGCTTTCCTTGCTTTGGTACAACTCACCGTGCTCTTGTAGATCTTGCGGCCTGTCTTCTGGGTCTCAGTATTGGTTTCCTCCTCCTCCTCCACGTCCGTCTCTGCGTCATCTACCGCGTCCAAACCAGTGTCATTGAATGACTCGACAGAATCATCATGGGCGTAGTCGGGCTGATTTGGAATCCATGATTGGCGCGCAGGATCCTGGTGCAAGTTATGTGGCTCCTCTATGCGTTTGCGTTTTCTGCTGATGTTCACGACTTCTGACCTTTGCTCCCCAGTCCGCGACGATATATAAACCGCCGTGTCTGCGCTCCACGGCTCTGACACCCTCTGGACACTGGGTCTGTTGAAGCTGGGTTTCCCTCTAGCCGGACGCCCAGGTGCTCGACGAGGTAGGGACATTGGCGCCAGCAAATGTGTATTTGGGGATCAAATTGTCCATATTCGCGTATCGTTATACAATCGCACAATTGCCACATGCTGAAATTGACACGCGGTGAAATCGCCACACTGACTTGATATCAATCTAGAATCATGATAGCTACTCACAGTTTCATCCTCTCCTTGGGACCTGGATCAGCCCTTGAGCGGACCAATTTCTCCGGCCACTTCTTTTCCTCCATCATGCGCATGAAGAATCTGCGCACCTTCCCCCTGGCAAGGCCTCGCCCACGTCGCGGGCGCTCGTTGTTCAGCAAGTGGAATCGCTTCCGTTGTGTTCCCCTCTCTGCTCCTCACCGCAGAGAAACTCGCCCGTACTTTTTGCGCCAGGTTCTGCACCTCCAAGCTCGTCAAGTGGAGCTGCAAGAGCAACGGGCAGACCGTATCCTTCCTAGACCGCTTCACGACCGTGGCCCCACCCAGCTCAAAATCGACGCGGAGACGGTCAGCACGTTTACTGGGTTAATCCCGGTCATTAACCATCTTGCAGATGCTTCTCAATCCGGTCGAGGTCTTCGTGTCCGACTGGAGCCACTTCCTTGACGGCAGTTACCAGACGCGTCAGGCGTCCCAGATGAGAACGATTGCTCTCGCCGCGTACGTTGTCTGCTGTCCGGTCCTAGCTGCAGCTGATTGTGTCCCAGGCACACTGTTGTACCCTTTCTAGACGGCTCCGACTATGTTAGTGCCATCATTGCACACAGTCCAAGGCATGAGGCCATGAAGTGGCAGGCACAAACTCACGGTCTCTTGCACTCGTTGAGGGATTTCTTCTATTCGGGAAAGGTCCCTCGCAAGGTGGTTGACTGCGCAGATATTAGATTTCAATTTGGTGCCGAGTACTGTGAGCCTAGTCAAGTGAGTCCGTTCATGGTTCTAGAGCTACGCACTCAGCTTTGGCATCACAGGCACCTCGCAGCATCCGTATTGAGCCTGAAGAGGCGGACAGCGTGTGGACATGGACCGTGCTCAATGTCAGATCCTTGGAGCATGTTGCGGCTTATCAGAACCGTATGTGCTTTAGTCAATCTTTGCAACAGGAGACTGAGTAAACAGATCTTCTCAAGACCTACTTCCCCAAGGCGTACCTCGAGCTTCGGACCTGGATGGACGCAATCTTGTCCCGAGAAATCATCGAGCCAGTGTTCAGAGGCTCCATCTTTACCACGGGCGAGATCCGTAAGGCGTCCCTCCCCCAACATGCCGCCTTCAACACCCTCATGGCGGTGACGGCTGTGGGCGACTACAATGGGAAGATGCACGGACATCTGCACCTGGCCGACAACGGAGTGAATATCGAGTTTCCGCCGGGAACCACGGCACTCGTGCTCGGTGCTGGCATGACCTATTGGTTCTTTCCCATGCCTGCCGGAGCAAGGCGCTGGTTGATCTGTCAATACTTTCATGCTGGCATCGCAAGATGGATTCAGCGTGCACTCCTCGATGAGCAGGCACTGGCCCGGATTCCCGGTGAATGGACTGAGCGGTCTGCCGCTCGTTTCCGAGCGGATGGGGATGACATTGTGGACATGGAGCAAGGTCGTGCGGTTCATGCGTTCAGCCAATTTCAGAAGTATGGAGATGTTTACATAGTTGCCTAATGAACAGAATCGTGTCGGAGCTTGGCTGGGCAGAGGATCTCATACTCTCGGGGGTCATCTTCGAGCAGTACATCCGTGATTCCTTGTGCTCTCAGTTGCGTCATACTTCTCTCCCGGTCCCGCGCCCGGCGAATCTTTTTGCTTGCCACATATTGCGCGAACGCCTCAGCACCGAACTTGAAGTAGTAACGCCTGATCGACCTGAATTGAAGTCTCTACCTCAGGCAGGCCACGCACCAATTTCGCCGCTGCACCTCCTGACTTCTAAGGTGGTGTCGGTGACGCTCTCGGTACTTCGCATGATTCTGGCGGGCACGCGCACTGAACGCCTCTCTCTCTGCAGCGGGGCCCAAATCCAATTCCGACCGTTGTCTGGGCGATCAACATCAGTGCCTGAGTATGGCAGTCGGAGACAATATTACTGTGCCATTCGCTGTCGATTCCTCTCCCTTTGCTCGCCAATCCATGTCGGGTCTAGCGTTTTCAATTCAAAAGGAGAATGCATGAGACAGCGTGAACCAATGCACGAGAGACGGACGTAAAAGGGCCACACGTCACCCATAGCAACGTCAATCAATATCACTCTGGATCACAGATCCCGAATCAGGACAAGCACATCATCGCTCGAAAGGAGAATCACAGATTACACAGTAGACTACTTGGTGCTGGAAGCGGCTCGACGTCTCTCTCGAGCTTTAAGCTTGAGCGTGCGCCGGTTCCTGGCAACATATCAGAATGGTGTGTGGCTCTCGAGCACGCCTCCTTACAGTTCCCGATACTTGGCTGCAGCCTCCTTTTGACGTTGCCGGCGTGCCTCGTGCTCAGTGGGGTCCACACCAACACCATGGTACAAGAGCCTCATGGCTTCACGAGACTTGCGACGGAGATACTCGCTGTTCCTGACCACTATGGGCTGGGGTGAAAGGAGCGGCGTAGAGAAGACGCACTTCGCTCGGTGCCGCCAGCAGTATATCCCATGTAAAAAGGGTTCAGCAGGTCGTCGCGCAGATCGTGCGAGTGGGGCGGCCGTGGGCATTGTGGTGGTAGGGAGAAGAGGTGAGTGTCACACATTGTCACATGGGCTCCCAAAATGGGTTCGATGTGCTCGCAAGGAACCATTTGGTCTCCCTACACTGCAAAACTGCATATCGGACTGCCAAACCTTGCATAGTGCCCTTTTGAATGTATTAGAACAGTTTTGACAAAAAAGATTGGCACATGAAACTGAAACATTTTTGGGGTCGTAAATGTTTTGTTTAACGGTCATAGCTCCCTATGCGGATCGTGAATTCGATAGTGTGAAACACTTCTTCTCGCAGCAATCTTAAGATTCCGGCCACTGATTCGCATGTTGAGGCCGCTGAGGATGGGTGACTTTCTGAGGCCTGTAATGGCAACATTATACATTGAATGCGTGATTAAGTTTACATGTCGACGAAACTGGGACCGAGAATGGATGCCATCCTAGACGTGACAGGAGACGATTCAAGCCAAGCGCAGGGAGGAATAGAAAGGTAAGCTAATGCACAATATGTTGTTTTGGTATCAGAGGAAGCAGACGTGAGTGCGAGAAATCATTGGCTGCTTACCTTAAGACCCATTTGCGTAGTGACTGAGAGAGACACACCTTTAATCAGAACGTCTCGTTCACCTCTTGCTTGAATATTTTGTAATCAGGACGTAATTACCCCAATCTACATGTGTGCAAGCGCCCGTGACCATCGAGTGGTAGGCTCATGAGATCCAGCGGCAATTTGGATTGCAGAGTGAGAGTGCCGCATTGGGAAATGCCGACATGAATCCCCGCTCCGGGCATCCGGACGTTACACATTGACAGCTGTGGCAGTACACACAGGCTCGGATTTCTGATGGTCTAGTCTTTGTTAATCAAAGTCAAAGAGCATTGTCTTCGTTAATCAAGTAGTATACATTAGGAGCTACACAGTAAGAATCTTTACAACACCCTTTCGCTGGGCATCCGCAAACTTGGCCCTGGCGGCATCTTCGCCCTCAACGCTCTCAAAAAGCTGGCCAGGCACGCCGACCACATTCAGCTGACTCTCGAGTGATGATCGATAGACACCTGGCCTTAGACCACGATACACAACATACCATAGTTGATCGTTTGCCGATTCATTGCCACTCAGGGGATTGTAAGTCTCGTAGTCGTCGTCGGTCACTGGAATAGGTGGAACATAGCAAAAGACGTCTGCATCAGGTGAAGACGTCCAACCGCGCTGCTGGGCGTAGAGGAAAGCGGCATCAGCATCCGCGCGGGATGTATATCCGCGATATAAAGCGCATGGGTATCCCAGCATTTTCTCATTGCATTGGTCCCTGAATGAACATGTCATCATTGTCTGCCAGTAGACGAGTTCGAGACACACCAAGAATCACAGACTCCAGGCTCTCGCCCTACAAAAACAACGTAGGCGGCAGGACGAGGACGCCTGTTTTTTTTCCTTGGCAATACAGAGTATGCACGTGAACCGGGAACGTCCTGCGTCAAAGCTCCAGCGACAGACCTGCCACATATATCAACGATAGCTCTAGTGCAGCTGAGGCCGCCGCTTACCAGTCATTCGTAAGCCCGGCAAAACCGGGGGTTTGATATTGATATACTGGGCGGCGTTCAACGGTTCTCTGCACGAGAGCAGGGGGAGAACTATAACTGGATGAATGCGGGACCGGTGACTCCGATCGAGGCAAGGTAGGAGGCAAGACGGGTGTGGGATGCAGAGAGAGCCGACCCAGCAGTTGGAGCAATCGCTCGTCATCGTCCATGGTGGTCAGAAGACAAGAAGTGGACCGATGATTCCTGCAACCGAACATCATGTATGCGCGTGAGTGGATAGATCCCTTGATGGGAAGGTGTTGATCTCTGTCAAATGCGCATGGCGATTGTCGATGTTAATCAGGAGCATCCAATCGGAAGAGTGATGTCTATTACATGCGCATGGCGATTGTTGATCTTGATCAGGAGAACCGAATCAACAGAGAAAGAGCGAGAGCATTGATACATCAGGGAGAGACAAGAGGAGTACACGACAGAACTACTAAGAGCGAGCAATGGAAACAGTCAGAACATCAGCTACGGCAAGAATGGTGGACGCACTAGATCACACAATGGACACCATGTTCAACGCCAAGGTCTCATTGAACGCTGCGATTGCCATCGCTTCGCTGGGATGACCGCCCATACTGCTGCGACTGGCACCGGTAACTGCGGCCACGGCAACCGCATTGGTGGTAGTGATACCAACATAGTGCCCACGCGTAACGGCGTACCAAATGGTCTCGGGGGAAAACAAAGCGGACTGCGCCGCCGGCATCGCAACGAGTGGTTCTGTTGGCACAACATTGTACATTGTACCAACAACCCAAGGTCCCTGAGTTTGAATGCCGGCGGGAACGACCGGGAGAGCAGGACAGGCAGAAAGAGCTGTTGTTGGAGTAAGACCAGGGGAGATGACAGCAACAGGGGATTGACCGGTCAAAGTCGTCGGAGCGAGCGCGACGGGTCCGGAAGCCAGAGGATTTTTCACTAGGGAACTTGATTAGCACGCTGTACGCGTAATAAACCGTCGCTTACATTGCTGAACTCGGGCGGTGAGTGCATCGATGATGTGGAGGAGAGTGGTGATCGCAAGGTCTAGGGAGGTTGGATCAGATTGGATTGTGAGGAGGGAGGAGAGACGATATTGCCGTCAGCAGTTGCGGGGACACTGTCCGGTGTCCCAGCGACGTGATTGAGGTCTGCCATGGTAGGGAGGGAGAAAAAAAAGTCGGGGTGGCAAAAGAGGGTGGGAAGACGGGAGAACAATCGTTGAGCCCTTATCTGGCCGCTTGTGTTTTCGTGACCGGGGATATCACTGGACCAGCAGACTGGACAGACCCGGGATAGGCACGGATAACAGGGGCCAAGGCGCACCTGTGATCGGACGAGATTCACCCGTGCGAGCGAAGCGAAGAAAAACAGACCCAGGTCGAGCATCACTATCACTCCGTCCGACAAAGAGCAGTAATCCAGTTTCTGTGAGCCCGCCATGAGATGCGTACTTGCTTCCACAGGCTCATTGTGTTTAGGATCTACCATGGTCATTGTAACCACATCTAGCAAGAAGCGGAAAAGCACGAAGAAGGAGCGTGGCAACTTGCGGCTCTGGGCTGAGGGTGTACGAGAAGAAATCCTCCAAAAGCATCTCAATCGTGTTTCGGAGGCGAGGCTTGGAGGAACATGGGCGCAAGAAAGGGCTGCTATCCAGGCGGCGTGCAATGAGTATCATGCACGTATCCCTTGGAGCACCCCAGACCACGTGGAGCCCGACGTTGTGCATGACTATGACCCAAAGGCTCCAGCTCCGTTTGAAAACCTGACGGAGGAGGAGGAGAAGGAAAAGCGTCGTTTCATTGCCGTGTCCAATGCTGTGAGTCACACATGTGACCGCGTCATCATCGTCTGCTTACCATCATCCGACAGCGTATAACCCGATGGTATGCGTACCGTATCAGATGTACGCTCAAGAAGAATCGGGAGAACATCCTCGATCCCCGCAAGAATCCTTTTGCCATCCTGCTTGGCAAGCTCTCTGGGCTGACCCGCGCGCCCAGAGCACGGCAGCCTTTTCAGCAATTCCAACGGGAATCGTGGGCAGATAAGATTGCGCCAGTGGTTGCTGTCCGTCGTGCAGAGCTGCCCTCGGGTGCCCCCTACCGAGCTGGCTTTCGTGCAGGCGTTGCACGAGAGCTTTTTGCGGGATTGACAGAGGAAGAACGGGAGGGTCTAAAGCAACGGGCGACGGCGGAGGCAGAGATGAAGAAGCAGGAGTATCTGGATGGGCTGAAGGCCGAGCCATCTCGAGAGCCATTGGACGTTCACAAGTGAGTATTCTGGTCCGAAATTGCACAACAACCGAAGCTGATTCATTTGCAGCGCCATCCGGGCCATTCGCAGCGTCATGAATCCTATCTTGGAGGGTATCCACAAACGAACTGGGCTTCAAGCGCATCTCATTTGCGGGGGACCCACACCTGAGTTTGGCGGCGAGATCCGCACACACATGTACGTCCTACAGTTTGCAGCATGCCGCGGAAAGCTAATACGCTCACAGTATCTCATACGGCGAAAACAATGACGCTGTCCCAGTGTCATGGGCTGAGTGGGATGAGGAGCGATTCACGCAGAACGTGCGCAAATTCTTCATTGAGTATCTCCACACGGTGTACAGTATGTCCCTCCCTGAATAGTCGTTGATTGTGATACTGATGCCTCATCAGCGGCAGAGGACACCGCAGCTGCAGCACTTCCGCAACACGTTCTGGACACCCTGATCCACCAGGGTGACCTGTATACAATGCCCAAAGAAAAACCTCGTGGCGATGATGGTCCCTCTTCCGACAACGACGACGACGACGAGGATGTCAATTCGACGGATTCAGATTCGGATATGGACGCGGTGGCCCTCGCAAACGCGGTGAAGAAGAAGAAAGCACGTTATGCGAAGGAGAAGAGTGGCAAGGGATCGAGCACAACAAAGCAGAAGGCGGGGAAGTCGGTTAAGAAGCATATGCTCCAACCCAAGCCGAAGACAATGACGAACGCTGCGAGCAGCTCTGCCAGTACCCAAACCGAGCTCACACTGCCCACATCCTCCCCCACTCTCCCCGCCCCATCCTCCAGCCCTGCTACGCCTTCGACCGCTCCAGCACCTCCACCGTCTCCGGGTGCTGGGTCCCATGCAACATCCCCCTCATCGTTGTCCGCGCCATCTCCGGCCAACTCTCGCTCGCCGTCGCCAGTATCATCACGTGCGCCCAGCCCGACGACCATCACATATGACAGCCCGATGGGCCCAATCACGTATGCGGATCCGTGGGCGCACCTTCCCTACGAAAAGTTGACATACAATCAACAACGACAACGACTGGCGGCTCGCAACGCAGCCTTGAGAGATGCATTAGATCTCAATCAAGCAACGGCGAGGGCAATGGCGGGGGACGTCAACAAGGCCAAGGTTGTGAAGAGGAAGGCATCGGAGAAGCAGACTCCGCTTCCACCAGAGAAACGCAGACGCTCGTCGCGATTCCAGACTGGAGGTGTCGAAGTGCCTGCTGGAGGTGCCGGACGTTCTGGGTCGCAGTGTGGAGAGGGTGACGTCATGGAAATTGATATCTCTGATGCGGACGATGTACCTGCTCATGAACCCGATACAGACGATGTGCCCACTCCCGAACCTGATACGGACGATGTACCCGCTCCCGCCCTTCCCGACGCAGACAATGTGCCCACTCCCGAACCCGATACGGACGATGTACCCGCTCCCGCCCTTCCCGACGTTTCGGAGAACGCCAGTCCTGGTGCGGGGGTCCCTGTCGCTGCCGAGACCACGGGCGACGACGACCCCGATCCCAATGCCGACACCAACGTTGACAAGGCTACAGCCATTGCTGGCGCTAATGACGCTGTTGTTACACGTCCACGTCCTCGTTGTCCCGTGAAAGCTGCCGTGTGGTTCCAGGATGCTCACAAGCGTTTCATAACCGTAGACCTCGGCGTCAATTTTGACAGTGTGATAGCAGCGTGGACGCGGGTCGAGGAAGCATCGCGATACGCCGCTAGTGATGCTGGTCTTGCCACCGAGCACCGTCCCGCCGCTGTTACCACCTGGATTCGGGGGAAGCGGAACAAGATCCCACGGCTGCCGAATATCGACGCGTATGCGATGCAGTGGGACAGGTGGTGGTCGTCGTTACAGCCAGAATGGCGTGTCAAGGACACGGTGGCTGGTGCGGGGTGGTCCCGCGTGACATATGGAGGAGACGGACGCGAGTGGGGCCCACTATATATATGGGGTCCCAACGGCACACAGAGCCTTCTGGGGGCGTTGTACATGTGGGGTATACAGTTGCGCGAGACTGGAACAGCATCGCAGCGAGCCTCGTGGGAGGAGGCAGTGCAGGATGTGGGGTGGATGCTTGAGGGTCTGGCTACGTACTACGAGCTCTGGAAGAAAAAGGGTGCTTGGTAGGGACGCTAGATATGCACAGACAATCATTAGATATAATCTGACAACATTGTATATGCAGAATGATTCCTATCTCGAGCCTGCGAGGATCCCGAGCTGATTCGGCGGTCCCAACGTCGCGCGGCGCAATGCGGCGATCCCGACGGCGCACGTGCAAAAGCGGAGTGATGCGGAGCACGCGCGGCGCAATGCGGCGATCCCGACGGCGCACGTGCAGAAGTGGAGTGATGCGGAGCACCCTCATCTGATGCGGCGATCCCGACGGCGCACGTGCAGAAGCGGAGTGATGCGGAGCACCCTCATCTGATGCGGCGATCCCGAAGGTGCACGTGCAGAAGCGGCGAAGCGCGTGCTCGGCGGGAGGTGATGCGGAGCGCCGATGGGTATCCCGACGCTACGGGCGATTTGATGGGCTGATGGAAGGCGCCCTGATGTCCCGGGGACTGCCGACAACAGGCCAGATGATGATGCGCTATAGATAAGTACATTGATGACAGCTTGACGATCCCGCCCCCTAGATCCCACCGTCCATCGCCTGCAATCACTCATCACTCATCACTATCAGTATCAGCAACAGCGCCGAGCATGCCGCCACGCTATGGCTGTGGGAGGTATGCATAGCCACCGTGCATGGCAACTACCATACGTTAGGATGGGATTTCTATGGTAAGAGCCATGGCTCATTTAACTAAATCTTAGAGCTATGGCTCCGACTTGACGTTGTTGCCGACGTAGTTGACCTTTTGGGCGTACTTGTCCTGCCGCGCTTTGAATCCGCTGGTGTACTGGGGGGGAAATCAGCCAAAGTGAATTATTTTCACAACGCGGTCTGGTATGTGCACACCTTGGTCGCAATGACCAGCTGGTCTCGGATGTCGCGCTTCTCGGCCCATTCGCCGATGAACATTTCCGAAGTCTCGTCCTGGCTGTGGGTCGCGTCAGACGTGGGGCAGAGACAGGCAGCCAAGCAATCGACGCACTATCGTTCGCTGTATCGATAAAGTTCCTGCCTGCGTCGAAATACGCGTCGAGCAGCTTGAAGCTGGACGCCTTGTCCATGGATCCCATGCCCAGCTTCTCCCACTGGTCGCCGATGCTCATCGCACCGAGCTGCAGCGGGGAGACGTGGATCCCAGCCTTTGCGGAGAGAGTGCGGTAGACGCCGAGTTTGGTCGCGGGCGGAGGAGGGGCCACGTAGAAAGACATAATGCTGTTCGAAAGTAGTTGTGTGTGTAAGGAGATGAGTATGGAGGAGCAAGGGTGGGGGGACACACTCTTTTTTATACGGTTTTCATTGCAGCGAGCGACTTGGAAGGACGGTCAACTGACCGTCTGTGCACGGATGTGGCCGAGATTATTCTGCGCCGACACTACGGCGGCTGGCTGTCGGGTGTGCTGCCGATGACTAATCCAGGTTTCTCGCGTCAAGCTGCGAGTTGTCAAACAGACGGAAAGCGTTCCGGCTACCATGAGGATGCCTCCCCTTTTCTTGGGGCAATATGATATTCATAGCAGAGTCAAACAGAAAGCCAAGGGTATTTTGATCGCGAAAATGATCGCTATCGCCAACGTTCCCAATTGGGAAACACCACACTTGCCAAAAAGGGAATCCAACACCCCACGGGTGGTTCGAGCAACGCAGTCCCGGCGGAGAGGCTCGCCCGGGATTCGACGATCGATGAATGCAGAGGCAGGACCGGGAAGCCTGGTCAAGAAGCGTCCGGCGCCATGCCCAATGAGTTGTGGTCCATCATTTCTGCACTTTCAAGATACCAAGGCCTGTCATGTCTGACAGAGCTATACGATCCGTGTATTGGATCACCCGAGATTTTTCTGAAGCTGACCGGCGAGCATTTATGCGTGGCCAGGTGCCCTTTGGACGGAGGTGGTCAAACTAATTTTAATCTCGTTTAAATGTGTGAGTTTGGGGGATAATTCGGCTCGCCTCTCGCTAGAAGCCTGATGGAAATATGGCGCAGATTTCCTTATTACGAACGACTCCAGCCCTGCGTCTGAAGAACTCGAGCTCGATTCTTTCGAGCTTGCTGCTGCGACTCTCGTGTCACCCGCAATGCATGAAATGCTGCCGGCGACAGGTTGTTCAGTTGACTGCTGCGAGCAGGTTCTCGTCCGCGGCCACCGGTTTCTGCATTGCTGCGATCAGAAAAACCTGGAACATCACTGCGCACACCCGTCCTTTTTTACAGGTGGCACGACACCCAGATCCTCTGTCCCCCCATCGTTTTTCCCATGACCTTCCAACATTTCTTGACCGTCCTGACCCTCGCCTCCTCTGTCCTCGCTGCTGGAATCAGCAGTGACACTCCCATGTGAGAGTCCCCCCTGCGCTTCATTTTTTCCTGTTCTCAAGCTCTCTATCCAGCGGTGGATGGGTGCCTAGTGTGCGTCTCGCTTCGCAGTCCTTTTTTCACCGTGCTCAACACCCCTTAGAAATCGCTTTCGATCGCCGGAGCCCTGCTCTACGCACTGTCGGCGATCGTGCTGTGGACCCAGTATTTCCTCGTGCGACCGAGGCACCGCTTCATGCTGACCTTGACTATCGGAATGAGTGGTGCGTCGCCTGTTTTCCCCAGCATGTTTTCACTCGCTGAACCAGAGCAGTCATGACGGTCGGGTTTCTCATCAGACACACCTATGCTTCTCCGCCGTACACGCTTGGCAAATACATCGCCTGGAACATGGTGCGTGCACAGCTACTTTCTGCCACTACTTTTCTCAACTCTGCACAGTTCATCCTGCTCTCGGTACGGCATATATTTGTCATTCATTTATTGTGCTCTGCTCACCGGCGCCTCCCAGCCCTGCCTCTTCCTGGGCACAGACTACATGCTGCTCTCCACTCTCGCGGCCACGTTCAGTCCCGACGTCGTCTCGCGGTGCTTGGGCATGCCCGCGACCCGTGTCATCAAGATATTCGTCTGGAGCGACGTCATGACATTTCTGTTGCAAAACGGAGGAGGTGGGCTGACTGCGTCCAGGAACCCCAGCTTGGGTAAATTGGGGACCAATGTGGGTTACTAATTCCCTCCATCACCGCGGCTTTGTGTTCTCAGCTGCTCCTCCGTTTCAGATCGCCCTGGTTGGGTTGATCCTCCAGGCCATCTCTTTTGTGCTCTTCACCTTCCTCTTGCTCACCTTCGCCTATCGAGTGTGCGTTGGCCGTCTCTCTTCTCCCCTCTATCGCTGACTGGGTGTTTAGGTCGAAATACTACCCCCACATCTGGCGACCCGAGAATGTTGAGCCGTTCAAGATCTTCTCCACCCGACCTGCCGGGGACTGGCGAATTCTCGTCTACATCATGAGTTTCACCTGCGTCGGAATCTTGACGCGATCGGTCTTTCGCATCATCGACTATGCCAGCGGGTGCGTGTCCATTGTTCGAGTTTTTGATCATTTTGACTGAATCTTGTTTCTTTTCTCTGCAGTTACAACGGCTATGTGGCCACTCATGAAGCGTTCTTCTACCTTCTGGACGCCTTCGCGCTGTGGGTCACCATGTCCCTCTACTGCATCGCATGGCCGACGCGGTTCCTTCATGCGCACGGGCCGAGGGATGTGCCGCTTGGCACAGCTACCGTTTACAGCCCCGTGGACTCTTCGAAGCCTCTGGCGGAATTCTCAGATCATGCAGTGAATTTGTAGAGGCAGAAGTGCATTTCGTTCTCGTCGACTTATCTCTCTTTTACTTCCCACGCCATAGTAACACCCACCTTTTGATTGTCTTCCCTTCCTCAATCGTTTGGGCTCTTTATCCCTCGACTGACTTATACCACTCACCCTCTTGTTTCCCATTGCATTCTTTTATACACGTATCCTATACTCTCTTCACAGCGTCATCCACTACAAATTCAGTTGTTCCCTCTATTACTCTTACTCCATCGACTGATACTCTCTTTTTCACTTATTGTGGGTCCGTGGCTTCCCCTGTTCAACATGCTCCCACTCGTTTGCAAAAGTAGAGAGAACACGTACCAGGTGAAATCCCTAAAGTCGCCAGCCTTTCTAGGCCGGCAGGACTCGCCAGCACACTTTTTATTTTGTGTCCTAAGCAGTCCCGGCCATCTTGAACGCAGCGGCCGCCCCACTGTACAACTGCGCTCACCTTTCCACTCTTCGCTCGTACCCTCCCTCTTATTTCGGGTGAATGAGAGTCCCTGCGGGCGGTACGCACAGACCTATGATGTGTTGAAGCTTGTTTGTATTAGCGACTATCACAGTATGTAGACATGACATCATAAGTAGTATTCTTAGATTACTTTGGCTCGCTCCACAATGACCTCATACCTGACCTCATTATTGCGTCATCCATTACTCATCTATGATATCATTACTCCACTATGACATCATGATATCTGCTCCAGACTGGTATATAAACCTAGTACTATACGCTCCATATCCTCAGCTCCTGTGTCTCTACACTCGCTGAGGTATGCATTCTCCCTTACGATCTAATGACCTTACTTATGACTTGTACCATAGACTCTGTCATATAGGTACAGCTAATGATATAGCTCCTGTGTCTCTACACTCGCTGAGACTCTGTCATATAGGTGATCGCTACTGGTCGTATCTCCACTGCGCGGTATTGTCTGCGACAGGTTATGGGCCCCGCCTGAACCACTAGCGGCAAATCAAGAAACATCGAACTACTCCCTTTACTAAGGCGAGTATCTTTCACTCGTTCAGCCCTTCTAGAGCGCCGTCTTTGTGCGCTCGTCCCACTTGCTGGATGTCGGTCTTCGCATTTGTGCTCTCACCCTCAAGGGGTTACGCGAGCGGCGTCAGGGAGTCATTCAGTTGGCAGACGCGCTGTTAGCTATTCCGTCCATGATTGCTCGCGCGCGTTTTACGTTACATCTTTTTATTGTACAGTGGACATACCCACCAGGCACTGGTCCTTTGGTCAATCCCACTCCTGAACCTTGCGCGAAGCGCCTAGGTGGTGTGGTAGCTCTCAACAGCTGCTGGAGGTCAATCCCTCCGCCAGGCAAAACAATCCTTCGGGGTTGACTCGCATTCCTCACAAGGGACCCTGCGGGCTGGTGACACTACGAGGATTCATGCAATGACGCTCTGCGTGTATGCATGTCTTTAAAAGGGAGAAGATGGGTGGCCAAACCCGGTGCTTGGGACGGCCTTGGGCACGTGTCCCTTGGCCAGTGACGGACTGCGAGGGCAGTAATCACTGTCGGGTACTGCCGCCGCTGACGTATATAGTTACGTTACTTTGATACAAATATGGGCACTTACTATACCGCTTTATTTCGTTATCATTCCCCGCGCGTATATGGGCATCATGGATGGGATGGGGATGCTTGGTCGTTCTTGTTTCAGAGATTTGGCACTTGGGATTTGTTTCTTGGTCTGCAGAGAATCTGGGGCTGACTTCGTCGCTCTAGTCTCCATCTCTATCACCCTGTCATCACCAGACGACCCTCCCGTTGGGGTTATCCTATTTCCTGTTGTCCGTTGGGCTCAGGGACCTTCTTACACTACCCTTCAAGACACCGATTGGGAAGACCTATACGAACTTGGTGAACACGACAACGAAGATCTATTTCACCATCAGGACAATTGGACTCCTGAACTTCGTTCCCTATTCGGTGATCCTCCCTATATCGAATTCCCCTCTCTTCATTACCAAACCGCCAACGTTATCGAGTATCTCCCCACCATGTCGGGAATCGAGAAACTCAACAACTCCATTCTGAGTGTCTTCGATGGCACCAATTGGAATACGTGGTCGGACAACTACATGAGCATCTGCATGCATCAGGGCACCTGGGGAGTGGTTAAACCCACTCATATTATGGTTAACGGCACATCTACCTCGAACCCTGGTTCTATGGAGCGTCCTGGAACGGCTGGTGACAGCCAATATCAATGGGACGTTGCCAATGAAAAGGCACTGGGTCTTGCGCGGGTTTATATCACCCAGAATCTGCGCAAGGGAATCTTTATGGACGGTCAGCGGGAGCGCACTGCGCGCGAGGTTTTTGCGAAGATGGCAACGGATTATGGCCAACCAAATGCCATCGATGCTTTCGTCGAGTACCGCCTCCTGAACACCACCACCTTCCACGGTGGTGATACCATTGAAAAACAAATCATGGAAATGGAGACTCGTCGTCGCCAGTGTTCGGAAGGAGGAATCGAGATCCCTGACTACCTCTTCGCAACTCTAATGCTCGCCGCTTTGCCCGCTTCCAGCAGAGGTTTCGTCACCTCTTACCTGGCCAATCGTCCTATTGCTTCTCTGAACCCAGTCAATGTCAAGAACAGCGTCATAGGGAATATCAAGATCGAGGACCTCGACACGACGTCGAACTCGAAGATTTCCACCGTTCCGTCCCTTGCCACCCGCTGCACTCATTGCAACAAGTCCGGTCACGTTGCGGCATCCTGCTACAAGAAGTATCCCAACCTCAAGCCGACTGGTCAATCTTCTGACAAAGGCAAGGGGAAGCAGGATGAGGGGAAGAAGAAAAAGAAGAAGGAAAAGAAGAGCGGTGATGGTACTAGCGCTGTAAAAGAAGTTGTAGCTGCTCCCGCGGTTGCAGCTGCCTCCAATGGAATGCACATTTCGTCCTATCTCATGAGTGACTCCCTCAAACACATCGATGATGGAATTTTTGTTGAAGAAATGGGAGACGACTCCAAAGTTCGTTTTCTATGGGACTCGGGTTGTACGCATCATATGACAAACACCCGATCCGATCTTCACAACATCAGACCTATCGACACCTATGTAATCGTTGGGTCGGGAGCTCGCTTCAAGAATGAAGCCGTTGGAGATATTGTGTTGCGGGGTCATACTAGTAGTGGCATGGACTACACCTTCACGCTGAAGGATGTCATCTACAACCCGCACATAAGAGGGTGTTACCTTTCTGGGTATGCACTCGATCAGGCTGGTTACTACACCGTGGTTGGTGACAACAAGGCAATCCTAGTCACCAAGGATTGGCTCAACAAGGGAAAAGCGCATGGGGATGTCTTGATGACCTTTAAAGCAAGCAATCGCTGCTACTGGTACTACCCCGAGGAGCTCGTGGCACCATCTGTGTCTGCATCTCACGAGTCTACCGCGCTCGCTTCCCTGGAAACTACTGATCGTGAATTGTGGCATAAGCGTTTTGGTCATGTGGCTCGGAGGACCCTTACTCACTTGCCGACACAAGTTGAAGGTGTTCCACCCTTGCGACGCAATAAAGACCAGCGCGGCATGTGTGATGGATGTATGCTTGGAAAACAGCACAAGCATCCGTACCCTGCATCAGAGAAACGTGCTAGCAAACCCCTCGAGCTTATCCACACTGATTTGATGGGCCCCTGGCCTACTCAGTCGTTGGAAGGTTCACGCTACACAATTTTGTTCTACGACGATTTCTCGAGCTTCGGCATGATGGTGTTCATTAAATCAAAGGACCAAGCCTCTACCGCGATTAAAAACTTTGTTGCCCTTGTAGAGCGTCAGCTCGGCACAAAAGTACTGGCCTTCCGGTCAGATCGTGGAGGTGAATATATGTCCGATGAACTCACAGCCTGGCTCAATGCACGTGGTATTATGCACCCTAAGTCCGCGCCACGCGAACCACAGCAAAATGGGAGGTCTGAACGTTGGAATCGCACAGCCTACGAGAAAGCGGAATGCATGCGCCTCGATGCCGGCCTATCCAAAGGCTTCTGGCAATGTGCTATGGATGCATCTGTCCACGTTCATAATAGACAACCTATGGCACGATTGGGATGGCGAACACCTGCGGAACTGTGGCTTGGAAAGAAGCCAGACGTCTCTTATTTCCGTGTGTTTGGATGCAAGGCGTCTCTCTATGTGGATGTTGAAAAACGCCCGAAAGGGTTGGAGCATGGACGCCCCGACCACATCTTCGTTGGATACGAACGAGAGACAAAAGCTTGGAAAGTGTGGGATCCGAATCAACGCAAGATACGAATCTCTTCAAACGTCGAGTTCGATGAGCGAGTATTCCCTGCCAAGTCCAAGCTAGTCACCGGCAATGTGTCCTCTGGACCGGAGCCGTTCACACCATTTGAGGAAACCTTCCCTGACCTTATCAATAATCCTGCGCCTGCAACGCCTTATGCAAGCATACCACCTCCTGCTCTCCCACCGCCACCGGCACCCCTCGCGCAACAAGGTCCTGTCACGGGATCGCGAGAAGTACCCCTAATGCCTGGCCCGATAGACAATCGCCCGATTGCCCATCGCCGCCCTTGTCGGAATAAGCCCCGCATTATGCCAGATGGAACTACGTATCAGAGGCCTAGCAGCATTGAGTCCATGTTATCAGCTGCCCAAGCTGAGCATGACTTGCCTCAAAACGTGCGGGACGTAGCAAAGAGCCCGGATGCACTCAAGTGGGAGCGCGCGATGCGCAAAGAACTGGAATCTCTTGAGGAAAACTGTACTTGGGATTTGACCAGCCTTCCACGCGGTCGAAAGACTGTCAAATGCAGATGGGTGTTTAGCAGGAAGCGTGACGGTCGTTTCAAAGCACGACTTGTTGCCAAGGGATTCACTCAGGTTCATGGGTTTGACTATGATGAGACCTTCTCGCCAGTATTGCGCTACGAATCTTTGCGCATACTTATGGCTCTGGCTGCTCTCGAAGATTGGGAGATTCATGCCATGGATGTCAAAACGGCATTCCTAAACGGGGATCTGGAGGAAGAAATCTATATGGAACTTCTGGAATTACCCAAAGGTTTCTCGTCATGGCCAAAAGAAAAGGTGGCACGCCTTCGTAAATCACTCTATGGGTTGAAACAGGCGTCTCGTCAGTGGAATATCAAAATCCACAATGCCCTCCTCGAACTTGGTTTTGCTCGGACATACTCCGACGCCGGTGTCTACACATATCGCCAACAAATGGGAGATACGGTCATCATCTTGGTGCTGTATGTTGACGATATGCTCATTATGGGCAACAATCTGCCGGAGATAGCGCGGATCAAATCATTGCTCGCGAACCGCTTCAAAATGACAGATCTTGGTCCTGCGAAGGATTTCCTTGGTCTGAACATAGTTCGTGATCGCAAAGCACGTAAAATCTGGATCGATCAGACTTCCCATATCGAAGGAGTTCTAGAACGTTTCCGGATGTCTTCGTGTAAAGAAGTTCATACTCCCCTGCCTTCCGGCATCGTGCTCGAGAAGCATGATGGAGAAGTTGATGAAGACCGTCGTACCTGATACCAGCAACTGATTGGCAGCCTTCTATACGCCATGCTTGGTACTCGCCCCGACATTGCCTATGCAGTCATCCGTCTATCAAAGTTCAACAGCAACCCGTCAGAACATCATTGGAACATGGCAAAATACATACTCCGGTACCTTCAGGGCACCAAAAACTACCAACTTTGCTATGATGGTTCCACTGGCGCAGGCCTTATCGGTTATTCCGATGCTGATTGGGCGGAAAACAAAGATGACAGGCATTCAACCACGGGATATTCCTTCTTCATCGCTGGTTGTGCAGTGACCTGGGTTTCTAGACGCCAACCCACGGTCGCTTTGTCCTCAACAGAGGCCGAATACATGGCTCTGAGCGATGCTATGCGCCAGATTGCCTGGATCCGCACTTTGTTGACTGAGCTCGGATATGACTTGCCATCCACGCCTCTTTGTGTTGATAACCAAGGCGCTATCTTTATGGCAGTAAATCCAGTTCATGATAGGAGGACGAAGCACATCGACATCCGCTATCACTTCGTACGAGAATCCGTCGAAGCTGGCAATGTCCAACTTTACCATGTGCCGACTGATGCGATGATCTCCGACACGCTCACAAAGTCTCTGGCATGGGTGAAGTTCCAACAACATCGGCTGTCTTTGGGTCTTTGTGATCCGACTGTTTAGTCGAGTGGGAGTGTTGAAGCTTGTTTGTATTAGCGACTATCACAGTATGTAGACATGACATCATAAGTAGTATTCTTAGATTACTTTGGCTTGCTCCACAATGACCTCATACCTGACCTCATTATTGCGTCATCCATTACTCATCTATGATATCATTACTCCACTATGACATCATGATATCTGCTCCAGACTGGTATATAAACCTAGTACTATACGCTCCATATCCTCAGCTCCTGTGTCTCTACACTCGCTGAGGTATGCATTCTCCCTTACGATCTAATGACCTTACTTATGACTTGTACCATAGACTCTGTCATATAGGTACAGCTAATGATATAGCTCCTGTGTCTCTACACTCGCTGAGACTCTGTCATTTAGGTGATCGCTACTGGTCATATCTCCACTGCGCGGTATTGTCTGCGACATGATGACACACCAAGAGACCGTGATCCGAATACACTCGCCATCAGTTGCGAAGTTTGACCGAAGTTTGACCGCCAGGCCAGATTTGGAAGGTGCTCCTATCTCTAGACTTACTCTTATCCTTTCGTGATTCATCACAAGTCGTTGCTCGCTGCTCAAATCTCCGGTGAGATCTTTAAGAAAATGGCTGTTCGCTGAACTCATATTTCAAGGCTAGTCAAGTATATCGTCCTTGTCGCATCGCTTGACCTGATTCGTATTCTGTCTTGATTGAGGCCGCGAGTACAGGTGAATGGTGAAGGAAACTTGTTCGAAGTCCGACTGAGCTATAGGATCTGAGCTTTACCCAACAACACGATTGACGCGGAGCCCCCCTTAACTCAGCGCCAGTCGTCTTGTTGAAACAGGGCTCGTGGGTATAGAAACAATCACATGGCCACTTTTCACGGTCGTGTTTTGTGTTAGGTACATGCTATACTGATATGATTCTATTCAAATGCTACGCTACTGACTACGGACGACTTAATGAGTACTTTTTACCTAATGGATACATCAAAACGGATACAGAACGAGTGTGAGTGTGTTTGTCGATTATAACAAAGGCTTAAGGTAACATGAAAATGTCGTTCGGATCGACGCATCCCTGGTCAACCGGCGTGGGGAGGGCAGGAATTTCCTCATTATCGAGATCCCAGATCTCGTCTATTCCAGAGAGCGCGAGGAACCGCTCTGCAACGCGGACACTCTCCTCGTGGGTGGTCCGAAGGAAAGGGTCGGACGGGAGATCACCGAATAGGTAGTCGGTAACCAACGCGGAAAGCGTACCTTGTGCCGAGGCCACGCAGGTAGGTTCGATGTCCTCGTTGACCCGAAACGAAGTCAAGTTGGCCAGATTCAGCATGGGCGGAACTGGTTGAGTTCCAGCCAGCGCGTCGTCGTCTTCATCGTCGGGAACAGCCACAAACGCAGCGAAAATGTCTTCCGGCTTGCACGCTGACCCCAGTGCCTGCTTCAGAAGAGCATCCTCGACGCTGTCTTCGTGAGGAGTTTCGAACTTCTCTCCGCGACGGTCGAGACTCTTCGGAGACGGGGTATTCACGATGTTCTCAAACGCAGCACGAGACGGGGTGGGCGGATGAGCGGGGTTGTCCTCGACGACGGGCTGCTGGCCCTCTGGAAGAACGTCGGGCTCGGGAGCAGCTTGCGGCTCTGGGACGGTCGCATCGGAACTGGAAGCCGAGTGAGCATACGAAACGAAACAGAAGATGCACCAGGTACCTCCGCTTCAGTCGTTTCGCCGGCTGTTCATTGCAGTTCGCAGACGACACGGTGCTGAGAAGGAAGCATCAGCAGCGAGAAAGATGAAAAGAGACGAGAGGCTACCCACCGAGGGCGTTTCGCAACACCAGACGTCGAGTGGTGATTGGTCGAGACAGCCCCAGCAACAGCAGGCTGAGCCATCAGCGGCTGGTAATGTGGCTGTTGCTGCCATTGCAGCTGCTGGTGGGACACCGGCTGGACCTGCTGCTCTCTCTGCAAAAACAGGCGCTGGTTCTGCATGACGCGAGCCATCTCCGACTGAAGCGCCCGCAGATGGGGCGGCCATGTTTGCAGGCGGAATCGGAGCAGCAGCGGGGGTGGGAGCGGGAGCGGGATTCCAGTGTGGATAGTACCGAAAAGGATCGGAAGTCGCAGCAGGGACTTTTGAGGGGCCGGCCGTGCTGCTGGCGCCAGCATGTGCGTTTGGGACGGGAGCTGGGGTAAACTGGTTGACTGGGACAGTCGCCGCAACGGGATACAGGAACGTGAAGCCCAACGGGGGAAGATTCGGAGTCGGGATTGGACGTGGAAAAAAGTTGGGAACGGTCGTGAAGGAGTCGATAGGCTGAGGGTCGTGAGACGATGGGGCTTGCGGCGGCACAGCTTGTCGTCGGACAGGCCAGCCAGAGGGCGCGCCGCCGTGACGTACATACACGATATCTCCGCCCCCGAGTGAGGAGCTCGGTGCGCTCGCAGCGGGCATTCGCGCCGCCCGGGGATGGAAGAGTATCGGACGTGCGGGGTGCGGAACTGCAGCCTGTGGGATCGGCCACCCGTGCGGCGCGCCGCCATTATTGGTAGGGCTGTACATATGATAAGACGGGATTTGCGCCGCCTGGGCACCGGGGTGGAACGAGTGTGTCGATTGCGGATGCTGAGGCCATTGGGCTTGGGGCTGCGCAAACTGTTGGATGGGATGGCCGTTCGGAGCGCTGCTGGGTGCATACACGAGATTGCTAGCAGCATAGGCATTGGTCGGGGCATTCGTAGTGGCCGTTTGTGCCGCTAGGGCAGCGAAGGACGGGTCGTATGGGGATGACAGCATCGTGGAATCAAGCAGTGTTCGGGCTATCAAAGCTCGTTCGTGCGTGCAAAGGTCAGAACAAGTGCGTTCGGGAAAGACAACAGGCGAAGCAAAGCGCCGCCCAGCGCACGCCCTGTCTTTATAAACCCACCTTGACCCGCCTCACCCACTGTGTCGCACAATGAGAAGCCAGGTTAGGATGCGAATCTGATCTTATCTTGACAGCGCTTGTCAGGCTCCCAAGCCGTGGACCTATATCCGTAAGCACAACCCAATCCATCAGATAAGAGCATCATGTGTCGATAACCGGGGAGGACAATGGATTGATGCTCCGGGAGACCTTAGACAAGTCATGGCGCTTTATAACCACTTAGAGGAATTGGGGTCATAATGATGCTGGTCAGGTCGCCCTGAGTACCTCAAAGTCTAAAGCGCCTACCTGAGACATTTTTTCGGATAGAATTGCCGCCCACGAGCAAATGCTTCACACGCCAGAGTCTCGTCCCAGCACTCCGTGCGCAGCAAATGAGGAAATCGCGGAGATTTTGCGGCTATCCAACATGTCGCATAGCTTGATCGAGTCGCAGACGGGGCCGGAGGAAAGAGAAAATGTGAACTGATTGCGCACGCGGTCGGAAGGGGGATACTGCCGGCATCTCACCCGGCATCTGATGCATCCTGATGCATATATGGCAGTGATCTCGAAAGGTAGCCCAATTAGAACGACGGCTGAGACATGGATGACGGAGTGAAGCACCAAGACATCTCGGTGTCTTCCGATCTTGCCTTGTATTTCCCAATCACAGCTTTGAGAAGAATTCCCTCGGCCGAGACAGCAACCGGAGGCTACTGACTAGCGCGCGCCGAGTCCATCTCAGGCCCGCAAAGCCGAGGATCCAAGCTTCCATCGGGGAAACTTGTCTTTACCGGCGAAACAGAGATCAGATCGCAGAATTGAACGCCGAAATGTAGAGATATCCGACCAGGCCCGTTTCAGCATCGCGTGGGGAGTATGAAGACCACTGGCAGGACAACGCGGCCGACGAGCGATTCAAGGTCTCGAGCATTTGTATTCTTGACAAAGAGGCTCACCTTGGATTATGACTGGAGAATTTTCTACATGGAAATTCAAGACGTTCACTGTACCATGCACGTGTTGGGGATCAGGCTCTGATTGCTGAGCCGTCCGTCGACAACAAGGTGAGCCCGTTTATATCACTTTTCGCATGCTTCATTGATGACCCTTTATTCAAGAGAGCTCAAAGTCGAGATCGGAAGCTGTGGTGCCAGCACATACGACCCTAGCAGGAAATTGGGAACGTTGAGGTCCGAGGACGTTGAAGCTCCTTTAGGGCACCTAAGGAACATCCGCCGCGGAGGGTACCCCCCCTGTCACTACATTCCGTGGGTACCTAGACCCCGAAGGGGACTAGGAAACTAGTCACCCATAGCCCCTTGAGCGTGACTACACATGTAGACACCATAGTGATTACCGGTGGCTACATGGGACCAAGTGGGGTCGAGAGAGATCGGTCACTGATCGGCCATCATTCAGTCTCGGCTAGTCCCCTCTCACTCCCACGGCACTCTCTGAGCGCAATTTCGGGCCTCTCCCGCCTCTCCCGCCATTGTGGACATTCTTAGATACTACAAATTTTATAGAGAGCATGAATGCATTATTAAAACCGCTTGTATTTACTGTTACATGTCTACCGCCCATTGCGTATGAGGACCAGGGACAGAAAAAGCTAAAATGACATGGTTGCCTGTTTTGAAAACTCGCACACGCACACGGTCCCTTCACACTGGCACCAGCTTGAAAACGAGAATGGAGGTTTTTGAGATGGCCCAACAACTGCATTCACCGACTAGTACAGTGTGGATGAAGGAAAAGTATGGAGGAGTCAAAAGGGTGGACTGGCGGCAACGTCTCTGATAGGCACCAGTAGCCCCAGGGCCGACCGGTTCCGGAATAGTGACTACACACGGGTGACTACTCAAAAAGGCACAGCTCGGTAGCCGGCGACCCAAATTAGGGACGAGCGCCGAAGTCCCTGATGGTCTAGGCGCCTCGGCTCTTGTCGGACTTGTCTCGGACATTGATCCCCCGATCTAGACCCGTCAGGGTCTAGGTACCCACGGAATGTAGTGTGTTAGGGGTCAAAATTCGACTGATTTGGGTACCTAACAGGGGGGGTACCCTCCGCACTTTAGGCCATCCTCCGCATCGAAAGCTCCGCAAATGGGCATCAAGCATCCGCAGCAGGCCCCGATACCAGTGGCGGATCCATCCGCTCCTGGCTCTCCCCGTGACCGTCATGATGCCATCTTGCCGGTCATCCGTGAGCGACATCAGGCGACTGAAATTTTGGCAGGCACCCTCCGCATTCCTGATGCTCTCAGCCTTTCAGTCCTTGCCTGTGGGTGTTGTCCCACCGTGGAGTTGAGCCTTCCGTAGCACATATGCGACCATGCTCTCTGCTTCTCACTGATTGCAGCTACTCCAAACTCCAATGTGTGCAGAAATCAAAGAATTGCAGGGGGATCCATTCAGGGCTTGGGGCATCCGCACTGATATTGGATTGGTCGAAAGCAGTGTTCCAGTGTTCGTGACGTGAGACTGGTCTGAGAGATGCTCCAATATCTCATAGAACAGACAGACAGGGCAGATAGGGCCTTGCCACGTCCACGGCAGGCGCCAGGTGCGCGGGGCGGATGCATCTGCCGCATGCGGCCCAGGGCCAGATCGGGCTCAATATGGGCCATACAGACCCTCCAGCTGAATTCCCGGCGACGGAGATCCTCTGCGTATGACCGATGGCCCCTCGACGTCCATGGTAGCTGCCAGGTGCGCTGGGCGGACGCATCCGCCGCATGCGGTCCAGGCCCAGATCGGGCCCCGCCCTGCTCAATATCGGTTCCATAGACCCTGCAGCTCATGCCCCGGCAATGGACGACCTCTGCGCATGACCAATGGCCCCTCAACGTCCACGGCAGGCGCCAGGTGCGCTGGGCGGACGCATCTGCCGCATGCGGTCCAGGGCCAGATCGGGCCGCGCCCTGCTCAATATGGGCTCCATGGACTCTCCAGCTCAAATTCTGCTCCTTGCTTCATCCGGTGCGGAATTCATCCTCAGTTTCCCCGAGTCCTCATTCTACATGCCGGATCCACATGAGTAGGATAAATTGCAATCAGACAATGTTCTATGTTTATTGTGGCACTTCGGGCTACGGAGCCATCCACCGCGGAATTTGATGTCAACATCACATTGCCCTTTCCGTGTGAACGAGTCGACTTTCCCATCTCTTCTCCCTTCCATGAAGTTCACAGGCAGGCTTGGTAGGGGACATGGTATCGGCGGGCGGGCGTCCACGAGTCCCATTAAACGAGCTGATGTAAAACGAAAAATTAAGATCAAGCCTTCTCAGTGGCGGCTCGCAGCTGGCCTAGACCCACAATTGGCCCATCTGTTGGGGTACCCTGGTACTGAAGCAAACAATGAAGACGCCTTCAGAAGCTCCCTCCCAATTCACGCACCTGGACCTTCTGGTGCCCATGGAGCGGCCACCTACTCCGCCGTTGGCGTGGAGGCATCTGCGGCGCAATGTCCTGATTCAGAGATGCAGTTTACCAGCCAAGATTCATTCGACGACGGCCCCGATCTCCCATATCACCCTTCCCGCGAGCCTTACTCCCCATTCTTGGCCTACACACGCTCCGAAAAGAATACATCGAATTGGCAAGCTTTGCTCCCTGTCTTAGAAGGCCCATACATCGAATTCTGTCGTCTCTACTATGGAAAACCACGGCACAACATTTTATCGACCATTATACACACCTGTGCCCTGTGTGCAGTCAACAGTGTAAGCGCAAATGTTCGGTGCCTTTATCCTACACGTTGGTTCACTATTTTGCTTGTTTCACGCATATGCTCATTTAACACCTAGACTTGATCCAGGTGGATATTTCTACCTGCAGATGCATGTCTGTCGCGGTTCTCCTTCTTCAAAATGGCGTCTTTCCAGGTTCACCATGTCATCCTCGCACCGGAGTGTCTCTCGATGTCCTCGATTCATACCAAGCGTACTTCGAGCGCTCTGGGGATGCAGTGTCTGCCTTAGCAGCTGCGCTGTGTACTGTCTATCGACGAAGAGGCTTCCCGGTTCTCTCTGAGAGTGTACGCATCCATTTCATTTGACCATTCTGAGAATTCTGACAGTGCCTTCTGGCAGAGCACCCTGCCACATACGGATGATCCATTTCGTTCCAGTCTCACACAAGCTATTCAATGGTCGTCGCTGCTTTGTCTCAAACTGAAGGGCAGACTGGATACATTCCTGCAAGAGACAGAGAATGTGCTCGCGTCAAAACTTGACAGCTCAACCTCATTCCCAAAGGCTGCAGATGGCTCCGAGCTGCCATCCGCAACACCTGATGCATTGAGTGCGGATGCATCCGCGCCGTCACCCTTCAATGCAGATTCCTCCACAAGCGATCACGTCGCGTTTTCGATCCCGAATCAGCCTCCTCAGGACATGCTTGAGTCCCCAGCACCTACACGTGCGGCCCGTATTCTGCGTGAGCGATGTCCGGCTTGTTTTGGCCTGACCACCTGGGGTCGGCCGTTGGAACATTGAGTCACTCTTCATCTTTTCATCTCCCCTTGACATGAATCACAGAGGTGGTGATATACAAATGGGCGCTGATGGCAACTGGAGTCTCCGACATCTCTGTTCTGCAGGAGATGGGCCCAAGCTTCCATTTCAGCCAGCGTACTTTGTCTCTAAGGCTGAAGTTGATTCTGTTCGCCAACGAATCTTGGCTGCGCAAAAACAAAAGCCCCGCCGAAATACGTCTCCAGTGTCTTTGCATGTGATAGAAGCGTGTCAGGATTCGTTCGAAGCTGCTAACGACAAGAAGGAGAAGGCTGATCCCAACCGCTATGACTCAACTGGGGTCTTTGTCATGACCTGCCGGCATTCACAAGTCTTGTTTCTTGCCAATATTGACACCCCCGGGGAGCAGCAATGCTACATCATTGCACTGTTGGAGAAGGTGGCATCCTTACTTCCAAGAAACACTACAATTGTCCAGGCATATGATATTGGATGTGTAGTCGATCACTCCTGTCATCTGGTATGTGTTTCCCCCCTTCATCTTCATTCACCGCATATGGTCAATCTTCGTGGCAGATGCATCCGCGGCACAGCTCATTCATCTGACCTTGCAGCGGATGCATCCGCAGCAAACATCGTTCATGTGCGGATCCTGCCATAGCATCCACATCCACTACTAGAAACCGTTATCCTGACAATATCAACAGTACCCGATTCTTTCACCCTCTCTACATCAGCGTGTTGCATTTGTAATTAACATCATGCACTCCTTTGCGCATGAATGGGATTGTCAACTGGTCTACAGTCCACGATTCTTCACAGGAATGGGAATATCTGACATGGAAGGGGTCAAAAGGTTTTGGTCTTGAATGCGCAAGCTGATTGGTATGACCCGAACACAATGGGTCAGCATATCACTTCACTGCATTGATATTCTTTTCATTGTAAACACAGAGCTCACGGCGCATATGGATCCTAGATGGACACACAGAGTTCATCAATTCAGAAGGTTTGGAAGGCCTGGGTCACTGGCTCAATCGACAACAAGAGAAGAATCTTCTCCCCAAGCTAAAAAAGGCCGTCAAAGTTCTCCAGGACTGCCGTATCTCCGACCATGAGCTGCGAACACAATGGAGGGAACAGAAGGCTGCGCGGATGGCTCCGTGGATTGGTCAGTTGTTAGCACTGAGCTTAGACGATTGCTGAAAGACGTCCAGAGGTATCCCGACACTTTCGAAAGGAGCTTGATAAGGTCATTGCGCTACAAAATCAGATTCAGACACTCGAGACCACAATTGAAGACACAAAAAAGACAATCTTGTCTGGCGGACCCTCAGCCGAGCTTCTTGTGCATCTGGATCGACTTGAGGACTCCCATGCAAGCCTGAGTGATCAGGCCGATGCCTTGTATAGCTCACTAAACATCCACAAAGACCTCCGCAATTTGGCAGGAGTTCCCGCTGAGTTTGTCAAGACGTTGCTGATCATGCATGATCTCAAGATCAACATTCAAAAGCGTGCAGTGGGATCCTTCTACGAGACTGAAATGCTGGATAGGGCAGTCGCTGGTCGAAGTGAAGCAATAGGTACAAAATCTTCCACTCGCATTTCCTGCTCGATTTCTCAATGATTTCTCAGGAACGAAGCTCTATCAGGCAACACGTAAAGCACTGTCAAAGAGACAGCCTGTCCTTTACCGCCTGATCAACCATTTCAATAGCCTCTGTGAACAATTGGAGGATGAGATGCCCCCCCACTCCCTACTTCCTCTCCCAACCCAGCTCTTGACCAAATTATCAGTACTCAAAGCTGACCAATCTCTTTTCAAGGATATCTGTGTTCTACCTACGGGGAACAAGATCCCACGGTGGCTTGATGACTCTGACGTCAGGGATGGGATCCAGAGTATGCACAGTCTGGATTGGTGTCGAGAGGAACTCTCCCGACTGAATCTTGAGAGGGGAAACCTTGCAAATGTACTAGAAGAAGAGCGATCAATTTGCCGCCAGAGCCTCCGCACTACCCAAGGTTTTTGTTCCAGATTCCTGCCATTCCATTCGCTTAAGTGTTGCAGACCCTACACTTATTTACCTGCTAAACGTCCACATGGATCGAATAACGTTTCTAACCAAGCGCTGGCGACCTTCTTTCCAAATGTATGAGATGCACACATCGAGCGGTGGCCAGATCACTCCCAGTAAATGTGTGGATGCATCAGCAAGCGCTTTCTTCTCCCAGCAGCATCCTGCCAATGCATCCACAGGCCTCCCCAATGTTGACGCGGATGCATCAGCAGACAATTATGTGCATGCCAATGCATCCGCACAGAGCCAGGATATGATACAAGTGGCTCTGTCTGCTCCATCAGCAAATCTACATTTGCCAACGTCTCTTGACGAGGTCGAGGACGAGGTTTTTGATGGATTCACAGACACAGAGGAGATCAATATTGCCTTGCAAGCGTTGAATATTACCGAGTGTGATGATACAACGATACCAGATGAGGGGTTGGTGCAAATTGACATCAGATGGGACGTTCCCCTAGTTCGTTGCTCATCTCCCTTTATCCATGAGAAGTTTTTACTGACACGTGCTTTGTGAACTTGGCTTTCAGACAATGTTGAAATACGACCTTGACCTCTTCTCTGAGCTGCAGGCAAGGAACAACAGCTTGCCCAGGTCTTCAGCGTTGCTCCCACATATCGTTGTTTGGGATGGCTCCCTCAAAAACTATATCTTTGTGCCCGCCGATCTAGCCCACATTATGGATCCCCACGGATTACTGAGTGGGCAATGCATCAATGGTGTTGCGGCTTCTTTCCAGGCATTGTTTTCGCACGTTCACAATCCTCATCATCCTGCTGCACGTCGCTGTGCTCTTCTAAGCACCTATGAACTGCCGCGCATGCGTTCGGAGTGTTCGGACGACTTCCTGTGGTCTGAACTGGAAGCAATGCAATATTGGGAACGGGACTTATGGATCCTTCCTATACACCGAGCAACTCAGCAGCATTGGGTTCTCGCTGTAGCATGTGTTTCTGATCGTAGGATCTATTTCTTTGACAGTCTTGCGCTGCGCGGAGGGTTCCGCAAAGAGCTCAAGGTCTGTCATTCACTCTCTGCTATTGCCATGTTCACGGTTTGAAAGGAATTCATGACGCTGATCACCCGAATGGTTCTTCTTGCAAATAGGCATGGTTACACTTTCCATGTCCCTACAGATGACTGGACTGCGCATCCACTTTTCATGCCAGGCCAACCACTTCAAACCAACGGCTACGACTGTGGATTATGGATCCTCGCTGTCATTGGTGCTGTCCTACGTGGTTTCAATATGCCCTCCATCACAGAGCATAGTTTGGGCGCTGTTCGTCGCATCATTTCTGAACATATCTGTACTTTGTTACAATCATGTTAATTATTCTGGTTGCGATGGACTTTTCATGGAGTGAGATGGCAGGGAGATCGTCAAGTATCGTGTTTTAGCGGCTGAATGCAGGCTGAAAGTACTGAGACCGCATTCTAGACATTCAAAGTACTCAAGTCCGAATTCCGTTTTCCGTCACAATTCAAGAAATTCATTTCAGCAATGACAGCCCCATGCACTCAGGCTCGTTCAGGTGCCTAACGGAACTCTCCCGACTCATGCAGGCATTATGTCTGAGGTTGAGGTCAGTGGTATGTTGACCGATTGAGAATTGCGGTAGTAAGTAGTAAGTTACCCATAGACTAAAGGGTGCATGTACCAACCATTCGTATCGTCAAATCTTATGTCTTCCCACTAGTTCTGGGTCTTTCATATGTTGGTGGTGCATACCCCAACAGTCAATTCCGAAAGTTTAGGCTGGGCTGAGATGATACATATAATATGGGGAGCAATCTTCGAAAACTCGACCGTTATAATGCCTCTGATTGGCTGCCCTCAAGACATGATCCGAAGCTGATGGGTGATTTCATTACGTCAAACAGACATGCGGATGCATCTGCGCATGGTGTCTTGAGCAGCTGCGGACGTCCGCAAGGGAAACATCCAATTCGCGGATGATTGATTCGTCCGCAGCGGATGGTGAAGACCATCCGCACACGACTATGCAGACCGTCTCGTTGTTGATCAAAGCCTGGGAATGACATCAGATCACATTCCCACTCATTTTCGCTTGCTCCGTACTTTCATGACACGTCTCTTGTAGTCAAAACGCGGTATGTCTCTTTGCTTTTACGTGTCTTTATTGATCATACTTCATTCTCACTCGCTCAGGAACTCGAAATCGCGGAATACCCGCCAATGAACACCCCAAACAGGTTGGAGGCGTCGTCACCTTTGCCGGCCTCAACGCCCGACATTGGCTCAATTACGCTCCCACCAATCGAGACCCTCTCCTCTCCAGGCTACATCGATGACTCCGATCAGATCGACTGGCTCGCAGACTGCTCAGCCACTCAGTTGTCAGTGGGTGGTGGTAGCAACCATTTCATTCTCCCGGGACTGCCACTGACAATAACAGCCGACTTCTTTGCTCCTGGACCTGCAGGGCGCACATCCACTTCTTCCCTTCGGATGGCCCTTGGGCGCTCTTCGTCTCTGACTCGTCCCTCCTCTCCACCTGATGCAGGGCCCATCCGTTCCGAAGAGATCGCCGTCGACTCGGTGGAGGCTGAAGCTATGCAGAGTGTTGAGGATGTGGCAGGGGTCTTGAAAGGCCAGGAGGGGACGTTGGATCAGGGTCACATCGGTAACTTCATTGGCTTCTCTCGGGCTCTGCTCTCAGACCCCATTCAAAGAACAGTCGCTGACGTCCATTTCCTCAGCTTTTGGCGGTGCGGATGCCTCTGCAGACCAAGTCCATTCTGTGGATGCCTCCGCGGTGCAGACTTCCGGTCCTGTACATCCTCTGTCGGCCACTAACAATGCACTGACTCTTCCTCCTCCTTCCGAATCGGCGCTCTCATTCCATCAGCTTGATTCTCTCGTGGAGGACAATGACACGGATCAGGCGCTGCCCGTGCTGGAACAGACTGCGGAGTCCTCTGCACCGTCTCTAGACGATATCATGGGGCCTTCCCGAGTCCCAATGCTTGGACCGAGTGGGAAAGTCATTCTCAAATCCCACATTGATCGCATCCTTGAAAGCATCCGCGTTGCCGGCGAGGAGACCGGCCTGAGCCCATCCCAGATTCTTTACAACGTCTCGAATTCTTTCAAGCTTCCCAAATTCCGTACAATCAACAACTGGAACACTTTTGGGCGCATGTACAAGCAAAATCCCTGGTACTACTTTCGCAAGGCTTTCCCCGATGATCCATGCACAGAAGAACCCCCGAATGACTCGGCCACCATTTGCGCCTGCTATGATACTTTCAAAGAAAACGAGAAGTGGGAGGAAGCTCTGGAGACGTTCCAAGTCATGGAGACTCAAATGCTGGAACAGACCAAAGCAGAACGTCGCAAGATCTTTCAGAAAGCCGAAAGGGTCGTCAATGATGTGGTCTGTCTTCTGCAGCTTCCACATTCACGCTCACTCACGTTCTCTTAGTTCGAAACGTGCCATCGGTTGTATCACATTGAAGGGCAGGCTTACCTTTGCGGCTCCCTGATCAACGAGGATGGAAGCCTCGGCACATCGATCTCTTCTGGGGGCTTCAAGCAGCATCCAGTGAGCACATTATACTCGTTTCTCACTGTTCATGAACACATTGCGCAGATTACAGAAAGACTGAGGACCTTGACTATGGATGAGTTGCGCCATCTGGATGAGGACGGCATGCTGGCAGCAGCACGCTCATTGGCGTAGTGAGCCATTGATCATCATTCATTCTACCTAACTGATCACTGATCTTCATCGTAGTGCACTCCCCGAGACATCTGGCACACAGATGATGAGCTCGTCTGGAGGTCCCCCCGCCGCTTTGGCCAGTCTCCCTGCAGATGCCTCCGCCGATGCCTTTACGGATGGTGCAGCCAATCCTGCTGATGCATCCGCTGTGGCTACCTCCTCGTCTGCAGCCCACCAATTGACGCTGCTTGCTCCGGGCGTTGCGGCCGTGCCTGCGTTGCCCACAATCATGGCCTGGGATCCCAATTCAATCAATCAGAGTCGGAGCGCATCAATTTCTGGTCATCGTCATCTAGTCATCAGCAACATACGTACCTGCGCCACAATTGACATCGGGAGCGAACCTTTGGGACGGCAGCATAGCAATCTTCCTTGGGTGGAAGCAGGTAGCCGCTTTTACAATTTTCATTGCCTGCTCAGCGGGCATCCGGCTGCAGTCTGACTTCCAGCAGAGGTCAAGTTGAGGAGAAAGGGTGCCAAGGGCTTGGGGGATTGGGACTATGGCAGTCTTGGGGAATTCGACCTCGCATTCCAGGCCAGAGGGCAGACACCCAGTAGTCAATGGAACGGGAATGGTCTGGGCTTCCGAAGGCGGGATATTGTACCTGGTGAGTTGTCTCTCTTGTGTTGCTGCTAATGGGACGACTGTGACGACGTTTCCAGGCAGCTTTGTCATCTTCACTCATGACTATCGTTTCGGTCCCAGTGACCCATCGGACCCCGAGGTGGTTCGTCGACACTTCGCATCCTCTGGGGGAGAATTTCTGCCTGCTGAGACCATGAATGGCGAGGTATGGCTCGTCAACTATGACTTCGATCTTCCAAATCCGGTCATTGCCAAAAAGAAGCTCGTAGAGGACAGCATGAAGGTCTTCCGTGGCCAGGTTGACCAAAGCCCAAAAAAGTCGAAGAAAGAAGGCAAGGGGAAGAAGAGCGCGAAGGAGAAGGAGAGCGCGAAGGGCAAGGGGAAGCAAAAGGCCATGGCCTTCTCTCATCGCTCGATGTCCGAGTCTGGGTCTGAGTCGGACAGTGATGGGAGGGACCAAAGTGGAGAGGATGACGACACCGAGGCGAGCGGTACAGATGAAGAGCAGACCGTGGGAGCCAGAGTGGTGACAAGGTCCCAGTCCAGTCGCAAGGACTCGGTAGCTGCTACCGCGTCAAAGACCACAACCCCCAAGGCGGCGACCACATCGAGTACCCCTGCGGAGGCATCCGCATCTCCGTCGAAGACCTCGGCAGCAGCATCCGCATCAACGGAAAAGACGTCCGCAGGAGCATCTGCGTCGAAGTCCATGGCCAAACCCGCACCGAAGCTGAAGAAAGCCACACCCGCACCTGCGACCCTGCCCAATCTTGGCGCGGCCAAACAAGTTGAAGACGCGGTGGACCAATCTTCTGATCGGCAGGGGGAATCTGCTGACCAGGCAGTGCGCCCCAAGCGGAAGGCAGCAATCGCTGCCGAGACCAGATGGGATAAACGGCCCCGAATTGATCAGTCCACACCGGGGAGAAAGCGCAAGGCCAAAGAACCAGTGTCCACTGCGCCGCCCACCAAGAAGCCCAAGCCCATCCGCCCAAAACAATCAACGGCAAAGAAACAGTTCAAGTCTGCTGAAATTGTGCTGAGCGAGGTAGAGGAAGCAGATGAGGAGACGGAAAAGAGGGACATCGAGGACAATGCAAACAACGAGGAGAAGACTCAGGGCGCGCAAAGCTCAGCCGACGACGCGGGCCCAGCTCCCCCAATTTTGCGTCGTTCAGCACGAGAGAGATGCCCGCCACCCTCCAAGCAAATTGGCGGTGGGCCACAGGATGCCGAGCCAGGGCCATCAGACTTGTGGCCACCGGTCACAGGGCACGAATCCCAATTGACGAGAAAACAATTGGATTTCTTGGTGTCTTTGCAAAAAGATATCAAGACGACTCTTTACGTGGTCCAGAAGACGCCCCCTGGTTGCCAGCACCTCAGCAACATCAAGCTTGCGGAGAAACTAGTCGGGTGGTGCTTCGGGTCTCTGGATCATTCTAGCCCACAGTACCTGCTCTGGAGTGATGATGGCGCTGCCACCGTGGAGTCGTTCAAGGAGCCTGCGCAGCCTACGGCTTCCAGCTCGAAGCGGTCTCCACAACCAGAGGCATCCAGCTCGCAGATCCATCCGCAGCCAGAGGCATCTAGCCTGCGGAGCCATCCGCAGCCAGAAGCATCTAGCCCGCGGAGCCATCCGCAGCCAGAGGCATCTAGCTCGCAGAGCCATCCGCAGCCAGCGTCATCTTCATTGCGTCCGCCTGCAGACACCCCTGATGTGGG